GATTATTTTGTTAAAGTAACACAATTTGCGTATTTCAAATGTTCTGCTGAGATACCGAAAGAGTCAGGAGATTTTTTAGATTTTAGGTTTGAAATAGCCCTAATTATATTTTCTTCAGTTATTGTAACATCATCGTGTTTTGTACACAGGGGAACTCTCCGATGATTTTCATTGCGATGTATTATTTTTGAAGTATTTAGTACTTTTTCGAAGTGGTTTGCAAATTCTGAAGTAATGGATTCTTTGTCTTTTTTTATTATTTATGGTAAATAATCTAGAATTTATGTCTTTGTTTAAACATCTAAAAGTATTCTAAAAGTTTTTTAGTCTAATATTTTTTAATTTTTCAATTTTAGTATACTGTGCGCAAATTTTATTATTTTGAGCCAACTTGACGGCTTTGCGAAAGCTTTTACGAGCCATTAGGTAACGATTGAAGGTTACGGAGTTTAAATCTTTTTAAAAACCAGAATCTCTCCATTTGTTAAAATGAATTGAAAGAATAGTTTTAGAACGACTTAATTCAGGTGTCCACCAAGATTTTGAATACAAACATTGCTTTTTATTTTTTAAAGTTTCCTTAAAAGCTATTATAAAGCTATTATATAAAATGTAAATTTAGATTCAATATTTTGCTTTTTTAAATGGAAATTGTACTTTTATAAATAAACTTAGTATGTACACATTATGTGTTTAGTATTTAGTTTTTACAATAAAGAAAGTAAAAACTATTCTTTAAATGTAAACTTGGCTACATAAAATCTGATTCACACTAGAAAACCATTTGTAGAAAAAATTGAGAAGGCATCTCCAAATCATTTTTTTTTTAAATTAACACAATTACAACAACCATAAATTTTCTTATAAAAATAATTGTAAGCAAGATATAAAAATCTAAAGATAAAAAGTTTTCTTTGAGAAAAAAAATTATTTTAATGTATTTTTATTAAACTTGCTTTTATTCAAATTGAACTTGCTTATAACCAGTTAAGTTACTAAAAACTGCAAAATATCAAATAAATGACTAAACCATAAAAAAAAACTTCAATGAACTTCAATTAAGTCCAAATTGCTTTTATTTTTACAACTGGAACATATCTATTCATTATTTAACAAAAATTAGACATAACAGAAAGAATACTTAATTATTTTTTGTAAAATTGAATAAATTAACGTCGCCCTCCTAAACATGATACCAATTTTAAAAATCTTATATATATATATATATATATATATATATATATATATATATATATATATATATATATATATATATATATATATATAATAAATAATAACATATTATACATGCAAAAATATTAATTTATAAATACAATTTTCTTCCCACCTGCAACATAAGCATGGTCGAGTGGATTTTGCCTCTAGTTAGTACACCTAGAGTTCCGGGTTCGTTTCTCGGTATCGAAAATTTTTATTGTTTTTATTTTAATTGTTATTGCACAACGATTGTTTTTTGTTGCTATACACTTTATTTAAGGTGGTACACCACTAAAAAAACAGTGATTTTGGAGTAAAATTTCAAAATTTAGTTTTTGGACTTGTTTTTTTCCAAATTTTATCCTTTTTCATTTGATATAACCATCTTATATTGTTCAATTACATAAAACACTTTAAAAATGCATTTTTCTAAAGTTGTTGAAAATTTTGACCATAGCAACGCCTTAGCAACAGAATAAAAAACCCTAATTCAATCCCTAAAATCTATGCTAAAGCTTGGCTATGCTTGGCTTCTTTTTTATGGAATATGCCTAGGCTATGCTAGGCTTCTTTTTTATATTCGTAAAGTTTTGAACTATACTTTAAAGGCACATTTGTTTTGTGACAATTTAAATAGTAGTTGTTGTAACTTTTACATTGTAATATCAATTTACTTTGATATTTACTTTGTCTGAGATATATTTGTTAATATGATTTAACAACTTTAGTTTTATATTTAGTGTATATAAAAATGAGTTCAGGAGGAAAAGAAAATCTACATCAAAAATATAAAGTTAGCAACAAAAAAAACTTTTCTAGAAAAAAGCATAGAAAATGGAACTGTGTTATACCAAATAGAGTATCTTGTAAGATCTCAAATTTTATTCAACCCTCTTGTTCTAGCGAACGAAAGTTATCTTCTTCCAACATTAAAAACAATAATTCCAATGCTTCAGATTATTTCATCTTTATTAATTTTTCTGTGTTAGAAAATATTGTTCAGTCTCTTTCATGTCCAGATTGTTTCTGCAACATTAAGCTTATTGATTATCCTAATAAAAGAAAAGGACTTTCACATAATTTGTTACTTCAATGTTGCAATGAAAAATGTACTTTTCTTAAACATTACTATACCTCTCCAGAAATTAAAAAACAAACAAAAATTCAAGGAAACAATTTAAAGGAGATAAACACTCGAGCTGTTATTGCTTTTCGAGAAATTGGCTGCGGATATGCTGCAATGAAGACATTCATGTCAGTTATGAACATTCATTGTTTAACTGAAAATGCATTTCACAAGATAGACTTGCAGGTTAAAAATGCCTATAAAAAAACTGCAACAACTAGCATGAAAAAGGCAGCTATAGAAGCTCCTCATACTGAAATTGTCGATAATATTCGTTGTACTCAAGTTTCTATTGATGGCTCATGGCAACGACGTGGTTATTCTTCTTTGCATGGCGTTGTTACAGCCATAACAGGTGATAAATGTGTTGATGTTGAAGTCAAGTCGAGACATTGTTATGGTTGCAAAATGTGGTTAAGTAAAGAAAATACATTAGAGCATGAGCAGTGGAAGTTAGACCACAATTGTCAAATAAACCATGAAGGGTCTTCAGGATCCATGGAATCATCAGGTGCTGTGGACATATTTCGTCGCTCTATATCAAATCGAAACTTGATTTATAAAGAGTACCTTGGAGATGGCGATACAAGCTCATTTTCAGATGTTGTAAAATCACAACCTTACATTGAACAAGGAGTAATTCCAATAAAACTTGAGTGTATAGGGCATGTTCAAAAGCGTATGGGTACCCGATTACGGAGTTTAGTAAAATTACATAGTGGCACTAAAACACCATTGTCTGGTAAAAATAAACTGACAGATAAGATAATAAATTCGATGCAAAACTACTATGGCATTGCTATTAGAAGGAACACTACTAATATTTATGCTATGAAGAAGTCTATATATGCTATTCTTTTCCACTTTACCAATATTCTAAATCAAGATGAGCGTCATCAGTTTTGTCCTCGTGATTCTGAAAGCTGGTGCAGGTATTGGAGTAAAACAAAGCAGTATATACCATCAAATTCAATTCCAGTCTGGATTAAAAACCTGCTAATACCAATTTTTAAAAGCTTACAAGACGATCAACTGCTATCTAAATGCCTTCATGGTAAGACACAAAATCCAAATGAGTCCTTGAATGCCCTCATATGGTCTAGAGTTCCCAAAAACACTTTTGTCAGTAGAGAAACAGTTGAAATGGGAACTTACTCTGCTGTTATTCATTTTAATGATGGTAGTAAAGGTATTTTGGATGTTTTAAAAGAGTTCAATTTGACTGGGTATTTAACAGTAATAACATCTGTTCAGTTTGACAATTCTCGTGTGAATCAAATGAAACGAAAGTCAACACAAAAGTGTATAAAGCAAAGAAAAAAGTTAAGATCAATAGCCAAAGGGTTCAGTGATAAACAAAATTCAAATGAAATTAATCAGTCATATGTTTCTGGTGGACATTAACCAAGATTTTACTGGAATAAAACTTTAAATGTGTTTTTTACAGTTTTTCATTTTTGTAATACTAGGGTAACTTTGAAACGTAATATCTTTGTATTGGCTAATGATTTTTGCCTGAAATTTTCAGGGTATACTCAATATACTCAAGAAATTCGGTTAACAGATGGGATTTAAAAAATTCTTCTTAAATATTTTTAAATAAAGAAATTAGTTCACATGTTAAGTCAAATTACTTAGAATTTCAAGCATATTTTCAATAATTCGTAATAAAACTTAAAATATGTCCTTAAATTAAAAATCCATCTGTCAACCGGAATAAAACATTATAATGCAACAATATACTAAGTTTGAACTAGAGAAAATGTATATAACGGAAGATATCACGTCACAAAGTTATTCAACTTTATGCATTTTTTAAGCAGTTTTTCCGCCATTATGGATGTAAAAAAAACTTTTAGAAAAAAATTTCATTTCAAATATTTTTTTTTATAAATTTATAATCAGAAAAATATTAGTTTTTGGTTTTATTCCAATTTTAAATTGAAAAAGTGCTTTTTAGTGGTGTACCACCTTAACACTTATCTAGTAGTTATACAATTGCACCAACTAAAGAAAGTTCTGCACTTGAACCATATAAATTCAAACGCAGAACGTGCACTGCCGTAACAGTTGGTTAACAGGCTGTAACGGAGTGTACACATCGAATAAGTAAGATTTAGGCGTAATTAATTTTACAATCAACATGTAGAAACATCAACTGAAGGTTTTGGCTTGGGCAGGTACTTTATTGATTAGGAAAACGTCTTCTCTGAAAAAAAAAAAAAAAAAAAAAAGTTCCGTCACAATATCGAAAAAACCCCTCCCTAAGCGGACGTACTTTATGGACGACTCCTTGCAAGTAACCTTAAGTACGGTTTAACCTTAGTGAAAATGACAAATATCTGGTTTATTATTTAGCTACATTTCACGACTACAATTGACTCTTGATATTTCGACTACTCGAACTTTATTTCCGGTCCTATGCGCACTCATTTGAGTCAAAATCGGCTTTCTTGAACGTTTTTCAAGGTCCCCTGAGAGTTCGAAATACCGAGTCAACTGTAGTTTCCAACTATTATTAATAAAAAAAGACAAAACGAAAATTTTGCTTTAAAAGCTTTTTAAATTACCAATCACGTGAAGCACCGCAACAGAGCAGATCAAACAACTAAACACTACTTATCAAGTTTTAAAGTTCATAAAAAAACTTCAGAAATAGAAGACGGCTTTTTAATGAAGATTAATAAAATTCAGAATACAAACATCTTTGACAATGACAAAATATCAAATGTTTATCATATATTCATAAAAAAAGTAGAAAATAAATAAAAGTGCACTTGAAGCGCTTCTAAAAAAAAAAAGAAAAAAAAAAAAAGAAAAAAAAATATTTACTAAACTTCTCATTTTTAATTTTAAGCAAATTTGGTTAAATTAACAGTGTCCAAAGATTCAAATGAAGATTTCAATATAAGCATCATAACAAAAATAATTTTTTTGTAACATTTAAACAACTTCATATTCTCCTTTAATAGCTTTCATCAAATAACAAGCAAAAACGATTCCGAGCAGCTAAAATAAAATTTTCATCAATTATAATTTATGTAGTTTACACTAGATAATTATTATATTTGCATGTAAAGTAATTAAGAAACAAATTTTCGATAGAATATTACCTGAATAAAGGCAATGCTCAAAGCAATAACTCCAACAACAACAAGATTCTTCTTAATAAACTGTTCAAACTTAGATTTACAGCCTTCATTGTTAAGTTTTTTTGCACAATCTTTATTTTTGTGACATGTTTTAACACCTTGAGTAGTTCCACAAGTTTCATTTTTTGTTAAATTTTTATAGTCAGATGGTCCATTAGCGCCACAACATTCAAACTTAAGTTGAGCCCAATCAAGAAGTTCACTTGCTCCAGGTTCATCTTTGTTCTCGTATTCTTTAACAGCTCTTTTCAATCCATCAACTGCATATTCTTGAACCTTTAATAATAAATAAATACTATTTAAAATATAAATTAATATTGTGTATACAACCCTAAGAATTAGAAAAAAATGAGTTCGGCAAGTTATTGTTGACCTCAATCTTTTGGAGGTTGGCATCAGATGGCAAAAATTATTTATAATTTTTGCTGTCTGATGCTAACATAAAATGTAGAAACGAGATCAACAATTTTTTGCTGACCTCAAACATCTTAAGGCCAACCCTAATTCCAAGAGCTGTGTATAGAATATATCAAGAGTGTGTATGTATATACATACGCACTCTTGTGAGAATGTATGTATGTATGTGTGTGTGTGTGTATATATATATATATATATATATATATATATATATATATATATATATATATATATATATATATATACACACACACACACACACACATACACATACTTACCTATTCTCTTTAAGTAACTGCAAGTAATTTAACCCTTATTAACTAAATATCTATATATCATACTAATAACACTAGATTTTTAAAGTTACAGACTGTTTAGTCTATTTATAAAAAATATAGTTTACCTTGTTTTTATAAATAAATCCTAAAATTCCAGCAACAATTTCTAATATAAAAATAAGTCCCAACAAGACTGAAAATACCATCACCATACAATAGTTTTCTTTGATCGCACCACAGCAACCTAAAAATCCAATAACAAAAACAATGACACCAACAGCAATAATAAATACTGGAGCAGTCGTGAACTTGCTATCCGCATAAGAGAAGTAATCTCCATAATTATTTTTTATTATTCCACCAACAATGATTAGAGCCAATCCACTTAACTGAAAAAAAGTACATTAGTGGATATAATACAAATAAAACAGTTGTTTAATTTTACAATCACAAAAACATTTTTTTTCAAAGTAAAACTTTTATTTACATTTTGGCATGATAAATTTTATTTCATTATTTTATTAACATGAATAATTATCAAGATTAGAAAAACCACAACTATTAACAATTCATAATTTCATAATAATATACAATTTAAGTTTTAGAGTTTTCCTTGAAAAAAAAATCCTTTTTAAATTAACAGTATTTTTCATAATTAAATAATTATGAAAAATAATAATTAAACTTATTATCAATTTAATTTATTATTTTATTGATTATTGGTTTATTATTTAAATGATTTATTATAATTATCAAACTAATTTGTTATTATAATTATTCTTTCTAACTTGTTTGTCAAGGCTTGTAATTCAGACTTATAAGGTTAAAAAAAGTTAAAAACAAACCAGAAAATTATTGAAACTTTGGTGTTGGTGCACAAGGGCTTGATATAATTTAACTGTCATTTTTATAGAGGTCGAGTCAGCAATAAACTTAGAACTTAGTTAAAAAAATTTTCAACTGGTTTTTTCAGTTTGGTCAAAGCAAAACAATTTCCAACTTTATACAAAAGTTTACCAAAACAATTCGATATATTTGTTTGCAATATTATCTGTAATTTAAAAAAAATTTGTAGTATTAGCAGAAGTACTTAATAAAATGTGTTTCTTTGTTTAGAGCTAACTCTCTAGGTAAAAAAACAACTATTGAAAAATAAAGAGAACTTTTTTAGCACAAAGGTATTGGCAATGGTAAAAAATTTTCTGTATAAATATAAGCTTAAACATAAAAATTAAAAGATATTATATTATAACAATATAAATCAATTATTAAAAAACATTGTCACAAATTTCTTACCCAAAAAAGGAAATTAAAGAAGAACATTAGATATTTAATTACGTTCATTTTTCCTTCAACCATTTTTAAATTTTGATAAAAATCGCAACTATAACTTCTACTATTAAATGCGTACTTGATATCTTAGTAGAGAGGACGGGCGTGTTACATTTGCTAATGCCGCTAATAGAGCCTAGGCTATTAAACAAACCAATCAGTTTATGAGCAGTTCAAAGGTCACAGACCTTAGAGCGGGTTTCTATTATTTTTTTAGTTTTGTAAATCCGCTTAACTATTTTGTTTAATAATTAATTGTCTGACAGTTCAATTGCCCAACAGCTGGGTAATTTGAACAATGCTTTTGTTGCATAGTTCAAACGGCTATTTTTACGAACCTTAATAAACTGTGCTAATAAGTTTTGTGCTTTATGCAGTATTTTGTTTTTGTTTGCCAACCGTATCCGTACTAACACCGTGTCCATACTATAATTTCATTGGATCCACGTAACGCCTACAATTAAAAAATTAGTTAAGGCCCAATGTAACACCAAGCACTTTGAAGATATACCATAGCAACTGCGCAATTAGCAACCATACTTGAAAAGCAACAATTGGTTTAACAACTTGCTCGGAAAAATAAATAGTTTAGCTTTTACTGCTATCGCTAAAAAAAATTCTTATGTATTCATACTCATAACACAAAATGCGTTTGAAAAATTTGTATTTGCTAGATGGCTTTTTTAAATAATTAAATTTACTTTTTTTTTTACTTCACTGAACTTAACTTCTAAACTCCAGTCTTAATACAACTCAGTGGCGGATTAAGATTTCTTGGGGTCCGGGGCTATTTTTGTTTTTGGTGGCTTTTTTATGGACCAGAGCGTAAAAATGACTGAAAAAAAAAAGTCCTCTAAAATTTTGGGGGCTAGCCTCCAATTTTGAAACATGTCTTTTTTCTAACACTTTTTCTTTTATGTTTTGTATATTGTTAAGATACACAATAATTATTTTTTTGTTTCTAACTCGATAAATGAATGTTTGAACTTTTAAAAAAAGTCTTTTGACACTTTTTTTTCTGTTAGCACATGTGCACAATCTATATTTTCCTTAAGTGTCCGGGGCTACCCGACTCTCCCCTAATATAAATATATAAAATATATATCAGAATTACAAAATTATTAAATCATAATAACAAAATTATTAAATCATAACACAAAGAAGGAGACGTGAATTTCTTGGTTAAATGCTCTTTTGTAGTGCTCTCTGATAAGACCTATCGGTCTTATCAGAGAGCACTATAAGAGTATTTTCTAGGAGTACCTTATTAACTAAAAAAAAAAATCAACAAGTTCAAGAAAAGTTAGAGAAAGACCCCAGTTAGTTTTTTTTTAGTAAACAGTTGATTTTTTTTTTCATAATTACTTATGAGTAAAAGACAAAGCAATTTAAGTGGAACACTATCAACTTTTTTATCATCCTAGAAACATTATTTTCTAGGATGACGAGGAACTGCAAATGGATTCCTTATCATCCTAAAAACATTATATTTTTCTAGGATGATGAGAAAAGTCCGAGTAAATTGGTTTTGAGAAAACAACGAAAAACTGATCTAGGATTTTATAATTTAACGGTAAAGACTTTAGATAAATCAAGTAAAACACCTAGTGTAAAATAATCATTTTTAAAAGCACCTGATATATGACAAGCTCAATTACTTGATGATCCGTAAAATGTTGTTTTATAAAAAAAAAAAAAAAGCCCAAACTGTTTACTCTGCAGCATTATATTTTATGCAAAATTGTTATAAATTAAGGTGGAGCAATTTTTAAAAATTTCAAAATTTGATTTCCCTGAGTTGCTATTCCATATTTTTCGGTAAAAAAAGAATCTTACTTTTTATTTTTTTAAAATTTAGTTATTGAGGTTCCTCAATCTTAATATTGTTGAAATTTTTTTTCTTCTAAACTATATCAACCTGGTACTCAAAAGAAGCAGATTAATATGCTGATTTTGAAAATAATATTTGTTTTAAAAAATAAAAAATAAAAAAATAGAGTTATTTATTTCATAAAAAACCCCCATCTTCAACAAAACGGGGGTTTTAAGGTATACTTTTGCAAATATATTTTTCTCACAAAAAATTATTATTTATAAAACAAGCATTTTTTTCTACTTTTTTTGAGTCCAAGGTTGATATCGTTTTGAAAAAAAAAATTAGGACCCGTCAAGAAGTTAAAATATAAAGAGAAAAATCAAGATCTCATCAAAATCTAGAAATATTTTTTTACTTTCATCTTATAATTAATAGACATCGATTCGTGTCTCAGGAATATTGATTTTTTAACTTTTTTTTTTGATATGAAAATCGTTCCACCCTATTATAAATCTAGTTGTACATAAAGCGTTTTAGCAATTTAGAGAAACAGTGTAAAACAAAATAAGTCTGTATTTTGAAAAAAAAATTATTATCTGTCTTAAAAATTGGTGTGATAATGGTAATTTTAAGTTAATCTAGTACAATACCTAACATTAATAAAAAAAATAATCTTTATGATTGCATTAATATATGGAAAAACAAAGGTTTTACTTTATGATTACATTAATATATGGAAAAACAAAGGTTTTACTTTATGATTCTGTCATAATGTATCAGCATTTGAAATAAATTTCAAAGTTTGAGTTTATCAAACTTAATTTAAAGCAAAATATATTTGGTGACTAAATTACCATATATGGCAATTGTGAGGACTTGTAAGAAGCCGCCAAAAATGGGTTAGTCTAATTTATTTTTGGTCTTTTGGTTATATATGGTTTTAATACTGACTTACTACTAATAATACTTTTTTTTATTTTTTCTCAAATTAATATTTATAAAGTTGATATTGTTCTTTATATTTCTATTCTATTTCAAACCCACACTATTATAATTATTTCTACTTTTATTATTGTTTTTGTTGGTGTTAATACTGTTATTAATATGATTGCTAACAAAGTTGTTATTTTTATTGTTACTTTTGTTATTATTATTTTGATTGTTATTATTTTGATTGTTATTATTTTGATTATTATTACCAATAACTGGAGTTTTTATTACCTATTATTATTACTGCTACTTTTATTATTACTATATTTTTTATTACATTGTTACTGTATACTATTATAATCTACTTTTCTTTTATTTCTATATCTTAATTAGGTATATAATATTCTTTTATGTTAAATAAGTACATAAATATAAATTAAATTAGTATGTTTTGTTTTAGATATATCAAACTTCCTTTTTTATTATTACTAGATATTATTTTTTGTTTAAGTATTATACTGTTTCCGTTTTATTTTTTTTGTAAATATTCCATGAAATGAATAATTAAGAATACAATTGATTTAAATCTTAAAAAAAAAAAATATATATTAGTCTTTCAATTCTAATTTTTTTTTATATATGACTTAATTTCTATTATGAGATTTTCAAGGAAAATATTTAAACAGATCTTTGTGTCCATTGTTTTTTTTTAGGTTTTTATAATGCACTCTTTTCTAAATATTTCTAAGTTTTTTCGAATAAATTTTTGTAACTTTTGTATTTTATATCGATTGTCTCATGTATAGTTCACCTAGTTTTTTTTTTTTTTTTTTTTTTAGATGATTTGATTAAACTTTTAGTCACCCGTAAAATAAGAATAGTTTGGTGAGTAAGATTTTTTTTTTTCCTGTCTTATTGTACTGAATTGCTTAAGAAATATTTTCTTACGCATTATATGCCACCTGTGATTCTAACACAAAATAAAAGCAGTTTTACTGAACTATCACATAATAGTTCACATGCTGATAATAATCTTCAAGATTAGGTCACAATCTTTAAGACGTAAGGTAATTTAGTGTAATGTTTTTAAGAACTAGAAATATTGAAAAGTAAGTTTTAATTATACTTGTATGTGAGCAGCAGTTATTAAAACTGTTAGTTATCGAAAAAAGTAGAAGAGTTTTTTTAAATTTTTAACTGGTTGTCTGTAAATAGAATTTATGAAAATATTTCTATCTGTTTTATTTATGTTCTAGATAAAAAACTCCGCACTTTTTTTTCTTTCTCTCTCTCTCTCTATATATATATATACATATATATATATATATATATATATATATATATATATATAACAATTAACAATCGAAAAAATGTAATACAAGTCATCATTAATAAGTTATTAATCAATCAATAATAAGTTATCAAGACGATATCTGCACCAATCCAAATTCTCAGTCGATGTATGAACATTCCATTGCATCTTTTCCTTATTTTAAGGATACTTTAGAAATAACTTTTTTTGCAAGGTTAAGTACGCAAGGATACATGTACAACTATGCTCCCTTAGAAGCAATCTAATTCAACTCAATTTTTTTTATAGCACTTAAGTACGCTTCAGATTTAATTTAAAGAATAGATTAAGTTAATATCTTTTTTTTTATGAGCACATTTTTATTGATTTAGTTTAATAGCTCTTTTATAAATTATGAAGCGTACAACCATTATAACTCTTTCCCTTATTATCCTTGCTTTCACGTCTGATACAAAGAACTTTGTTATGTGTATCTATTTAAGAAAAAAATTTTGTTTTTCGAGGGCTTTTTTCCTGTTACTTTTTATTTAATATTTTAATGCATAACGGCGACAGTCGTTCACGAAAAGGATAGAGGGTCTTCCAGCTTAAGAAATCAATCAACACAAAAAAAGAAATCGCCTAATAGAAAATATAAATAAAAATAAGCTATTTTTATAAATTGGTGGAATTTAATAAAATACTTTAGGAAATGAAAAAAGAAAAAATAAAAAAATAAAATAAATACTAATTTTAAAGGATTTTAAAAAAGTTTTAATTGACTTGAACATTTGATTATTAATTTAAAATATTTCACTATATTTTAGTATTTTATTACATTTTACCCGAATACAGATTTTTTTTAAAAAATCATAATTACTTATTAGCAAGTACGTCATAATATTATCAAGTGAAGGTTTTTCTTTTTAAGATTCAGAGTAGATATGACGTGTTAGGTATTATTATCTTATTTAAGAAGATCAATATAAAAGTCTAAAAATTAGGAATTTTAAAAATTAAAACTTTTTGTCTGACAAATCTGACGACAACTCAATCAACAGACGATAACAGAACCAAAATCTTTCTTTTTTTAATCATTAGAAATGACATTAAATATATACATATATAATTTTCTAATAAATACACTATTCATTTTTGGAAAAAGTAATAAAATTAGCGCAAAATATATAAAGATAATTAATATTCTTGAAGACTACTGCTTCTTTTTTTCACAACAAATATTTGTAGAAACCATGACACATAACAGAAGACTTAATTATGTTTGCATTTTATGAAATAGGAAACTCGCGCTGTTAGTTAAACACGGATTAGTTTTAAAAGCTTACGCTTCATAAGCCACAATTCAAACTTTTTGTTTTGAACAGCATGTTGATTCAAGTAAACAAATTTGCTATAAAAAAAATAAAAAAATAATATAATTTTTTCAACAATTAATTTTCTTTCGTGTAAAAAATTGAATATAGATAAATTACACATACCCAGCTCTCTCTTAAAGTGAAGTCAATTGAAAATTAATTTAATCAGACGAGATATCAAGATTTAGTTTAGTTCCTTTACCCAGTCGTTCCCATAATAAAGATAAATGTTTTTTTAATTTGTTCGTATCTTTATCCATCTTCATTGGCGGAAGTACCACTGAAAAAAAAAAAAAAAAAAAAAATGCTTTAAAATCATGGTTGAAAAAAAAAAGGTCACGAAGAATTTTCTTCCTTACACTTAACAAAGAAGACAAATCTTTTTACGCGGGCTTACAATTTTGATCTTTTGAACCCTTCGAGAGACATGTTTTTATCATGTAGCATATATTGACGTCAACCATTTCCTCCCAACCCTTTAGAAAAAGCATAGATTATAAAAAAAGTCACATGCGGTTACTTTAAAAATATTATTAGAAAAAATAAAATTACTTGAGTTGAAGTATCTGACACGTTAGGAGTAACGATATTTTGAAGAATTCCAAAATCATCGTCAGACATCGATACGTAAAACCTAAGTATTTAATTAAATAATATAATATATAACAGAAAATTGTAGTAATTTAAAAACTACGAGTGAAATTAACAGTAATTAATTTCACTTTGACAGCATAAACGTTGCTTAGTTTTTCTAGGTAAATAAATTAAATTATAAATCATATAGCTCCAGATATTTATCAATACAAGTTTTGTATAAGTTTCACTTTAGATTAAAAAATCAGGTAATTTGTTCTGCAGTGATAAGACTCTATTGATTAAGAATTGATAACGAAGTTTGCAGTTCTTAACAATTTCTTTTCTGATTTTAATATTATGGCCCATTGCGATTTAAATATTTTTTTCAACGTTCCAAGCATTGAATAAACTTTTGATGTACAATTGAATTGGTGGGAAGAAGAACAGTCCATTTTTTGTTATTTGCACTTTTTTTCATAATTTCATTTAACTTATGGCGATCTCTCTATGTATTACAAAATCAATACTTTTGCCATATATTTTTGCCAAACTATAACTGTTTAAAACTTAAACATTGATTATCTCGAAATGAAAATATTGGACTAGTACTGTTCTAACTTTCACCGATTTAATTGGTTATGTGACTTACGTTTTTAACTTAACAATTACTTAATAATTACGAATTATTAAGTAATTGTTAAGTTGATTAGTCTTGTCAAAAGAGAAATTTTTTTTTTTTTTTTGATGTAGTTTTGATGTAATGGTAATTAAAAGAACTTTGCGTACTTAATCAATAAGTTGATTAGTCTTGTTCCGCTTGATAACGCTGTACTAGCGTGCAACAACGCCAACTGAGTGTTTTCTATTTGCTCTCCTAGAGCGAGCAACTAAAATAAAATAAAACAAAAACAAATAAAAGATTAGTAAAAAATACATAAATTAAAAATACGTCAAAGTCATAGGTGTCATAGTAATATAACTTAACAATCATAAAAATGCTTTTCTATAACAAGATCTAAATCGAAAAACCAGTTTTACCTGCTTATATGTTCCATCAAGTAAAGTATCAAGATGAGCTAAAGGGGCGGGAGTTTTGTCTTTAAATCTCATTAGAAGTCTTTTCTGGATAACGCGAAACTGATGAGCTCGTTGTGAGAGCATTTTTAAATATAAATCTAAAGCTAGTCGTAGTTCAAAATGTTTATCGATCAAGAGAAAATACTCTTGGTGGGGTATTGGTCCTTGAAACGAACAGCGAAATGGTACACCATTCTTAAAGGAAAAAAAATCAATTGGTTTTGAGATCTTAAGTTGTAGTATATGTTGAAAATAAAGATTAGAATGCTAAAAACGATAATAAAAACAAACAAAAAAACTAACTGAATTTTTCTCGTAGAAAACCGTTAATCGTTTTAATAACGTATTAAGAATAATCCACATAGCTTCAAATGAATCGCTTTGTAAACGATAGCGGCCTTAAAAAAATTTTTTTTTTTCAATTTTTAAAAAATAAAATTTTCAAACACACAAAACTTGTTTATTGCATTTTCAGATCCAGATTGCAACAATTTGTTTCATTTACTATCATTTATAACTAGTAACCGGATTTAATTTTATACACAGCTACGAATTAACTAAAAACGAATTAAATCGATGTTAGATTAATATTCATAAAGTATTATTTTCTGGTGATAGGGAGAGTGCAAATTCAAATTAGAGGGGAAAAAATGTCCACTCGTTCTCCTCAAGAGTTTCATTCTTAAATTCCAGATATTATTTTCTATAAGCATCGCTGTTCCCTATTTACTTAAACCATCATGATAAAAGTTGGGTCTTTTTATGATTTAGTGCAACACTTAGGACCATAAAAGTTGTCTCCAAATAGTTTTAAAAATCAATAAAACTTGTGCCACATTGATTTTTTAATTGATCTTTATATATTTTTAGATTTTTAAACTTTTTTTATTTCGATAAATTTTTCTCTTTTACAGAATGTGAAAAATATATGCTTAAATCTAAAGATACATGTAAGAAAAAATATTTTGACCAATTTAAGTACCAAAACTTCATAAATTTTTTGCCAATTTTATTAATTTGAATCAAGTTTATTAATTGCGCCATCTTTAAATTTTATTTAAAGATGCCGCAATTAAATTAAAAATTCCTTGCTGAAATGTGTTTGTCTCAGAAACATCAAATTTATTTTTAAATATAATGGAAAAGTTGAAAATTGATTCATTTAATACTGTCACGGTTAGTATGGATCTTTATAATGCCTACCTAGCTGTCCCAAGAACGCCACTTATACGGAAAGTTAGCGTACACATCAAGGTACCCTGTAATGCAAATTTTGAAATCATTTAATTTTGTCCTTGGAAAATAATTTGATTTGAATGTTCAAATTAAGTCAAATTTTGACTTCATAGTGTACCAATAAAAATACTTGTAGAATTTGAACCACTCAATTTAATTTGATAAAAATTGATGCAAATGTAGCCAATAGTCACACCAAACTCTGGACAAAATTAGTGTAGGATTTATTGCAGTTTTAGTTGAAGTTTTGTCAATTTTTTGCTACTTATACCTCAAAGCGTTACTGATTACTTTGAAATTCGGTTACTATTTTTAAAATAAACTATTTAAACCCTATTTTTTACATTGTATTACCATCAAATATCTAATTACATTTTAAAAAATATTTTTTTGATTTTCTCCACCAAAAGATTATTAATAAATAGCTCTTTTAATACAAATTCTCTATAATACTACTTTTAAAGATGGTGAAAATATTCATTATACGCCTTAAAATATGAATTTAAGCAGCCTAATTTTTAATAACTCAAATGATGTTCATAAAAATCAATGTTGATAAAAATCTTGATGAGAAGTTTCAACAGTTTGTTCACTATAGGGCCCCAAGGGGGATCCTTTGTGACTGATGAAATCTTTGATGTGGTAGAAGAATGCATGAATTTTGGGTGTTACGCTTGCACCAGTTATCATCAGGTAACACTTTTTGAAATTTTCAATTTTTTCAGCGAAATCCGGCTGAAGGATGTATCCAAAGCAAGCCTTGACAACTAAATTGAAGTTTTTGAATGCTTTAATTATGCACACAATATTGGGAACCATGTTTGTCTTAGCAAGTTGCTGCAGCATATCCACATTTTTAAGAAGCTTCCTGCATTCATTCCCCTCAAACTGGCCCCCGTGGTACGGGCTCAGTTGAATGTGGAGGGCGGCTGGCTACTTAACAGCTTCTATCCAAACAGTTTTAAGGATCTTGAAAAGATGGTTGACTCCTAAGAAAAGATGCAATTCCATCGGTGGAATGATTTCCGAATTCAGAATATTGACAGGCCCACAGATGATTGGCCATCGAATGACATTGCCAAACAGCTTTGCATTAGCAACAACCCCGCCAGATTGCTGAAAAGACTCAACGCTTTAATTAATTAAGCCCAGTGTTCGCAGGTTTCCAGATTTGGCAAGACAATTGGATTTGACGTCACACTAGGTGCAAGGGTGCGTACATGAATGAGTTTGAAGACCACAAATTATATTTGCAACTTTCATATCACAAGCCAAAATTAGTTTAACTCCATTTGCATTAATAAGTGACCAGATTTGTTCATTATTGGAGTGTGTTTCTGGCAAATCTTCTGCAACCCTAACAATAATTTGTCTCTTGACTCCAGTGTATTTACCCGTCCTTTGAGTGAGAGGTTGTTGTTGGTGGGGTGAGCTGGTTTCATCCCTTAACGCAGTATCAACAATGCTTAGGCAAAACTTGAGAAAACCTTTGCCACCATCAATTCCAAGCTTAACAAAATTGCCATTAGAAATTTTGCGATACTGAATAACATGGTTCACAAGACTTGATAAATCATTGCAGTGAGCAACAACATGAACTGTACAAGAATCTGTTTTTTCGTCTGTGATTTTTAAGTTGCTGCAGGTGAAGAAATCGCTCAACTGTTGACCTAGTCTTATAAAATTCATGTAGAAATTTTGCTCTACCATCTTGCTGCTTGATGTTTTGTTTACAATTCTAACAAGTTTCTTTATTCCGTTGTTTGACAGCCCCGTATTTAATTGCACATTTACAAGGGCTACAAGGGTAAATTTCAGAGTACTTGATGGTGTCTGCGCACTACACTACAACATACATATTTTATAGTTACAATAAACTTTGTTTAGTAAGTTTGTGTAAAACTTTCAAATTAATCGTTTTTAAAGGAATTAGAAACTTATTTTCTAGATAAATTTTAACATATATATTGAAATAAAGTCTTGACTATTAAGAAATAACACTAGATAGATTTCAAGAAAAATATTTTTCTTGAAATCTATCTAATGCTATTTCGTATATATATAGTCAAGACTTTATTTCAATATATATGCTAAAATTATTTAAGTATAAATATTTACCAGGGGTAACTGTGGAGACCTGCTGGATGCTTTAGCCAGTAGAATAGTTTCTTCCAGAGATAATTTTTTATTGGAAATAACTCAAGATGCGATTTATTCGAGTGATTTGGCATCTTTTGTTGCTAAAGATGGAATGTTTTCCTTTAACCTTATTTGAGAGCATTGGTGGAACAAACTTTTTCCTAAAGTGCTGAGGCATTTGCTGCAACGCACCTTTAGTTTTTTCTCAATAGTGGTTTGCTCTATAAGAGAATGTTTTTCTTGCAGTTTTGAACGACTAATTCGGCATATTAGGCAACAACACATCGTGCCTTTTAATTCAGCTCTCACTTGTATTGACTTAAAATCAAACAAAGGAGGGAGTGCAACTTTTTACCCCTCTTGTTTCCTGCGCAAAGTAATTCTACACGATTCTCAAAATCCTTTTGGTACCCAAGTATCACTGAGTATCACATATTGATCTTGGTTTTGTACAGTTGGCATATTTGATCTGCTTGAAATGTATTAAGCTGTCTTAAACATTTTTTCAGACAGAGTAAGCACACAAACTTTCAATTTTCATCATGATTCTTTGCTTGATTTGGCATCATGGTAATTCACTAAATTTGACTTCACTAAATCAAACTCTGCCTTTTACAAACTTTGACCTAAATTTATATTTGATAACAATCCACTTAACATAGTAACACATATTATTAATTAAGAACTATTAAAATAAAGGAAATATTTACTTGATTTAATTGAGGTAATATTAAATTACAAGGAAATAATTCTTGAATAGTTTTTTCCTTAGGGGTCGTCCATAAATTACGTCACGCTATAACGGGGGGGGGGGGGGGGGGGGGCTATTTATCTGAAAACAAATAAATAAAAAAATTTATTTATCTGTTTTCAGATAAATAAATATTTTTATTTTCTATGTAGGTATCCCTAAAAACCCTTCTTAACCAATTTTTTAGATTTTTTTTTGCATTCTGGCAATAGTTTATACCTTAAGAAATGTTGGTATATTCACGCTATGCATACATGGCCGTCAAGGGAGCCATGGCCTGTCCACTTTTATTTTGCGAGGACTTTTTGTTTTAGAAATATAGGCAATTATTTTAGAAATTATGGATTTTGTTTAGAAATTGAGGGGTTGACCCCCTCCACTTTGTCAACGCCATTGGCATAAGCCAATTCAAATTACGCTTTAAGTAGCAAATTACTATTTTGGTCTATAAAATAAAAACTGTACATGTACCAATAAAATAATTATAAAAAACATTTTAAAAATAGTGACCGAATTTCAAAGTAATCAGTAACACTTTGAGGTATAAGTAGCAAAAAACTGACAAAACTTCAACTAAAACTGCAATAAATCCTAGACCAGTCATAGTGAAATTTTGTCCAGAGTTTGGTGTGACTATTGGCTACATTTGCAGAAATTTTTATCAAATTAAATTGAGTGGTTCAAATTCTACAAGTGTTTTTATTGGTGCACTATGAAGTCAAAATTTGACTTAATTTCAACATTCGAATTAAATTATTTTCCGCGGACAAAATTAAATGATATCAAAATTTGCATCACAGCGTACCTTGATGTGTACGCTAACTTTCCGTATAAGTGGAGTTCTTGGGACAGCTAAGTAGGCATTATAAGGATCCGTGTTAACCGCGTTGTAGTGATTATTTCTTCAGACTAAGGGGAATTATTCTTGAAAGTTATTGTAAACATATTTGTTCCTGAAGAGGATAACATAAACTCTGGAAATTTTTTAAATGGTGGAGTTCAAAGATGCCAGATACAGATACATAGAATCACAGAAAATGTTCCAGAATCAAACTACAATTAATTAAACTTGGAGAATGCTCAATTCAATATTGCATTTGATTTAGAATGCACTAGATCAGCATTTGATGTATCATCTCATGTTAACTATAGAGCATGTCTTTGGTGTGAGAGACTATCAACAAATGAGTCAGGAAAATTGAGAAAGCTTGGATTATTGGTACTCCAATTATGCTGAGACTGGATTTATTAAAACTCTTATGAAATCTTGTATGAATGTAATAAATTCCAGAGTTATCTTCCAAGAAGAGGATCCCAAAACTTTAAAATTTTGTAGCTCCACCAAAACTTCATTTTATAATAGGATTTGTTTCATTACTAGAAACTCTTTTATTAGATCTATTTTGATAAATGGTTAAAATCAAAAAATATTCTTCAGAGAGGTTACCAAGGTAGGGTTGGGATGGCAACAACTAACTACTATCATGACACATCTTGATGAACTAGAGCTTGTCATTAAAAAAACTTATTGTCAGATCACTTTTTATTGTGAATGTCTTAAAATCTTCAGATGTGTTAAAAATGCTTGCTTTGGCAACAGAAACTGGATTAGAGAAAAGTAATAACAGAAATCTGTAACCAAGTTAATTTTTTTTATCTCTTTACAAGAGCTAGCTTTAAACTTTCTTAAGAAATAACAGAAACCAAGTTAATTTGTTTATATCTTCACAAGAGTTAGCTTTAAACTTTGGTAAAAAAGCATTTAGATAAAAACATTTAGTTCCATTTGTCAAATATCATAGAATCAGTTTAGAAAGATACGGTGAACAATGTAACAATATATGCCAATAAAGCAATACATGCCAAGTTTAAACCAATCTGGTCTAGATATAAAAGAAGTTTAATATTTAACTAAAAAAATAGAACAATATATTTGCTTTATTATTATTACTTTTAATGTAAAAATATGAAATTTAAAATAATGATTTTTTAAAAATTGTTATTTCAAAGCCGAAATAACAATTTGATGATATTCTTATTTTTCCTGATAATATTAATGATAATATTCTTATTTTTCCTCCCACTTTTGAGGCTAACTATAGGTTATTTGAGCTGAAAATATCTCTGATGGTTGGTAGCTAACACTCTTAAGCTGATCAGAGTAGCCCCTCTGACTATTATTTCTAAAATAAAGGCTACGTGTCACAGTCATTTTAATTTTGAAAAATAATTGGAAACAACTTCTATGGTATAAGTAATATACTAAACCATAATTTGTTTAAATGACACAACTTTTATCCTGGCGATCTAAATAGAAATTAGAAGAAAAACTATGTTACGCTGCACAATTCAAATATAGTTTAGCATAATTTTTTATTTTTAAAAAGCATGTTAAATAAAAGCTTCTAAATAAAAACAAAAGACAGCCAGAGTTATATATATATATATAAAAATAAAGAATATATATTTATAAAGAAAATATATAGAATATATTAAAAAAATATATAAAGAATATATTTAAAATATATAAAAATATATAAAGAATATATATTGAAGTCAGAATTGTGATGTTATGTCTTTAGTTTTTGTTCAGAGACAAAAGTAAAAATTATGCTGTTTAAAATCTTTTGATTATACTGTTTGGGGTTGTCCATTAATTACAATTACTGTTTAGTAATTAAATCTAGTGAGAATAATATTGATCAACACCAAACTAAATTCATCAGCCCACAATTTACTGTAGGCTTGTGGAGCAGCTAGGTTTTGCTTGAGCTATTGCCAAGAAAAATTAGCAGGTCCATATTTCAAAAAATTTAAAAAAATTACAAACAAATTCTTAGCAATAATTTTAAATTTTCAAATTTATTTTTAATTGCTTGTGGTAGCAATAATATAAATCATCTATTTTTAATTTTTTCTAAACTATCTTTATTTAAATATAATTTAAAAAGTTGGAGCTGTAAATTCTCTAGAAACCAAGTTGTGTAAAAAAAATTTCACAAGCCAGGTTTAGAAGATTTCACAAATCAAATTATGCAGGGCATATTTTGAAATTTAACAAAACTTAAAGAACATAAATTTACTAAAGTAACTTTTTAAGTCTTTTTTTTTGGCTTTTCTAAAATTTAAAGTTTAAGAATAAAGTTCATTTAAAAAATACTTGTATTTATAAATATTTTAAAAAATATCAGTAATGTTAATAACTTACTTGTCTGTTTTGAAGCAATTAAAGTCACAATAGGACCACCATAATACTGAACACCAAGACCACTTATTGGTATAACAGCATCCTCAACCATATCTAATATCCAAATACTAATTTGTTTATATTTTAAACAATATTTTAAACAAAAACTTTACTATAAAAAATAAAATACATTAAAAATCTTATTTTGTAATGATTTCTAATAAAGAGACAAATGGCCATGGTTGCATGCAATGAATTTAATAAACAAACTTTGTAAATGTAATATTAAACATTACATTTTGAAAACATGGGAAACAAAAGTGAAAAACTTTATTTAAATAAAATTATATAACAAAATTAATTAGAAACCTGGAAAAATCTCTCCCAAATTAACTGTGTCTTTATTGACTTCAATAACCAACTGAAACAAATTTTTTTTTTCAATTCAATAAAAATATTTCTGATCAAAAATTTGTTTCATTTCTTATTTTTATTTGATGGTTTTTATTTTACATTTTTATTTCTTTACTCCTCATTATTGAATCTATTACAAAAACATGAAACTAAAAAAACTTGAAAATGAAAAGTAAACACATTTAACAAGTAAAACCTTATTTATTCCTGTTTTTAATGGTGGACTGCCAAATGCAATTAAATCAAGAGGTAGTTCAAATGACATTTGAACAACTCGTGGTACTTCTAAAGCAAAGATTTCTAATATATTAAAGTTCTGAAACTTTTAAAAGCTTTAAAACAACAAGAAGTCTTGTTATTTAAACTCAAATTAAAATCTTGTTATATAAAAGAAAAAATTTGAATTTATAAAGAATCTTACCTCTAAGTTAGTTTTAAATTTAAAATAAATAAAATAATATTGTATAGATACCAGAATCTGTTAAGTAACTAGCTGTGATGGAAACATCAAGATCAGATGGCAAAGAGCTCCCCAACGTACAAAAAAATACATTAAGCGCACATTTGTTTCCTGGATTAAAATTATAAAAAATATTGTGTTTTCATCCAGATTTTTGTATATGAGATAAAGAATTTAATATATTTTTCTTCACATACATATATGCATCTGGAGAAAAAAATTAATAACTTATGTTATATTACAAGAAATGAATCCCACCATACCCTTGGTAGTAACACTCCCAATACTTTTCTCTCCACAGTACCTTGTTCATCAGGGTTTTTAAATTTAGAGTTTTAAAGGGTTGGGAAAGGTAACAACAATTTTGAACAAAATATTAGAATAAAAGTTATGGAATATGTTCATTTTTAATTTTTGTTTGGGGTTTAAACAAGATACTTAGACACTTCAAACTAATTTGATATCTTTGTACATGTCCATGATTCTTGTTTAAGTATTAACATTTTTCGAGCAATTATTTACATTTGCATCTATCTTATAATATTTGCATCTACCTTATAACATTTGCATCTACCTTATAACATTTGCATCTACCTTATAATATTTGCATCTACCTTATAAGAGTTGCTATAAGGCAGCCATTGAAAATCTACATTAAAATGTTTAGATTATGATCTCTGTTTATGTTATTGTTTAAAAAATGGTGCTGTTGATTTCTGCTGTTAAAATGCTTCCTACAACTCTATTGTATCCTTAGTAACTAGTCTATTGTATCCTTAGTAACTCTGTCTATTGTATCCTTAGTTTCTATTGCTATTTTGTAACATTTGCTATAAAATTTCCAATCAATTGAAATTCAAGAAATTCAACCCAATTCTTTCAATTCAAACTTTTTTCTTTTTTTAAATTAAAGGCATTTAATCCGTTTTAATATAAATTTTTGTGATGAAAAATCAATCAAAAAAATCAAAGAGTTTATTGAGCGGATTCTAAAATATGTACAAAGACGTTAAACTTTGGCTTTTATTGATTACAAAGAATATCAACAGCACATGAAACAGCATTTTTAGATTTTCAAATATGAAAATCAAAAGGGACTATTTTTCAAAGATATCTAACCCAGCCTAATATACACACACAGATATATATATATATATATATATATATATATATATATATATATATATATATATATATATATATATATATATATATATATATATATATATATATATACAAAAATTTTAGAAAAATAATCAATTTATAAAAAACACTGAGAAAAAAAATTCCAATCAAAAATTTTGTTATAATGCTAATTTTTAGTTAAATAATGTCATTAGGCAGTCATAGGCAGTAAAATATAAAAAAATAATTATTAATAATAATAATAATTATTAAAAATATTACTTTAAATTATTAGTTAACAAATATCCATCTTATTCTCATACTTATTTTTGTGACTTATTCTCGTGATTTATTCTCATGATATTATCTCCTTATTCTCGTGATTTATTCTTGTGATATTATCTCCTTATTCTCGTGATTTATTCTTGTGATATTATCTCCTTATTCTCGTGATTTATTCTTGTGATATTATCTTCTTATTCTCGTGATTTATTCTTGTGATATTATCTCCTTATTCTCGTCATTTATTCTCGTGATATTATCTCCTTATTCTCGTGATTTGCTTTAAAGAGATTCCTTAATGTTATAAATGTATTTTTTCAATTGAAAAAAAATAGAAAGAAAAGTGTTTGATATTACTTTCTAACTAAACTGTGATGAAAGTCTACATAATAACAAAATTTGTATTTTAAAAACAAGCTTTATTTCTATCACCAAAAAGAGTCATTCAACCAATATCTCAAATTTTTAACATTCTGCAAACTTATTAACATAAAATTAAATTAACTCCATGGGATAGAGGACTGGGTATACCTATTTTAATTAATGAAAGCGCTTTAATTTTGAGGTGCACTATGCTTACGATATAATTTTGATTTTAAAAATATCCCATGCAATTGTGAATGCAAAGAAACATTCAATGTTTTGCTTTGTCAAATAAAATAGGTTGCTTCAAGACACTGCAATAACATTTGTTCACTACATTGCTTAACAGAGTGTGCATAAATGTTTAATACAAACCACACCTCATGCCCCCTGATTTTTTACTTCCATACAGCATATAAAAGTAACCAAACTGGTTTAGGTATTAAAGCAAATAGTTTTTGGCAAATGAAAAAGACTGCATTTTTTGACATTATATAACATCTTGACGTTGGGAGTTACACATATTAATTCCATAAACTAAAAAAAATCTATATACTGCAGCTATATTCAAAATGTATGATGATATGGAGAATAAAATCATGAGGTTGAACATGGCAACATGATACCATTAGTTTTAAGAACAAATGGAATGTCATAAGTTTGTCAGAAGAATGGAATCTGACAAACAAAATAAGTTTGTCAGAAGAATGGCAAAAAACTAGCTGAAAAACAAAATAAAAAGTACTCTATTATGTCAAACTTTTATCTATCTGGTTTCTTTTTTTGCATATCAATGTTTTAGAACTCTCATCCATCTTCAAGTTTTCTTGACTCAAATAATTTACTGCTTTTAAAGTCTTCTGTCAATTGTTTCTTTCACTCTAACAATATTCTTTATTCTTTGGTAACTCCCAACTTAAATAGTAGTTGCAAGGAGCCTAGTTAAAAGAAAATTGGTTTGAAAAAAAAAAAAATTAATTTTATATTTTGATTATATATTATGTACAGAATAATACTGTTAAATATTTAAGACACAATTTAAAGAGTAAACGATATCTTTATTTAAATAATTGTGATTTAATAACTTTTTTTATTAACCCATGTGGTTCATGTTTGGTTAAATGGTTCATGTTTGGTTAAACTTCAATACAAAACTATTAATATACCATAATGTAATGGTTAGAGTTCTGGGTCAGAACCAAGAGGTTTGAGGTTCGATGCCAGCTCTAGCCAGAAAAGCACACTGGTAGACATTGAAAAAGACATAGTAGACATTGAAAATTACTGTAATTTTTCACATATTAATAGCAAAGAATCAAGTTTCTTAGCAATTGCTCAAAAAATACAGTTAAAGTGGTATCTGCCTTCTGTTATTTCAGTGACTACATATTGCTAGAATAAAAATTTTCATAGTAATAAGATGCGTACAATTTTGTATACAAGTAAGTAAACAACAAATCCAAGTTTTACATGTTAGAAAATACTCTTTTAAATTCAAGAAATTGAAAATGATTACACTTACAGTCTTCTCTTAGCCAATGCTTTTGTGCTCAATTTAATTTTCACTTGCCCACACACCCGCAAAAACTTGGGCGAGAGCATAAAAAAGCACTTGCCAAAAAAAATAGTGTTTTTTTAATTGCAACTAATCTTTTTTGTTCATCAAACACTTTTATGAAAAATTGTAAAAACACTTTTATGTCTGAAATATTATATTTAGAACTTAAATAAAACGTTTGTTTTGCCATTCTTAAAGTAATTATTTTATTTAAAAATTCTTTTTTGCAGTTTTTATTTTAGTTACTTTATCTCCATTTAAATTAATCGTTTCTTTTGCTGGGTTTTTTTAGTTACTTCATTAAGAATTTTTAGAAATTTATTTTTATGTTTTTATTTAAATTACTTTGATTTGTATTTATATGAAATATTTTAATTTTTTTGCCTTTTTTGTTTTCATCGTTTTATCTAGAATTAAAAAAAACGTTTGTTTTGCATAATTTTTGAAGTTATTTTATTTAGAATTTAAATAAAACGTTTGTCTTTCCGTTTTTGTTTTAATTACTTTGTTTAATATTTATATAAAACATTTTTTAATTGTTACTTTTATGCCATTTTAAAACAAAACGTTTAATTTCCCCGTGTTTTTTATTTTAATTATTTCATCAAGTATTTATTCAAAGCATTATTTTCGCTATTTGAATTTAAATAACAGAACAATATGAATTTTTCAGGCATTTAACTTTAACATGTTTGGCCAGCGCTAGTTAATGACTGTTTGGCCAGCGCTAAGTTTGGCCAGCGCTAGTACGCTGGCATTAAACTTCAAACGGAGAAGAATGCACTTTGGATGTAATTTAATGCTTATAGTTATGTAAAATTAACCACTTTAAAAACTATATTAATACTTTATATAATTAGATTTGTACCTAATATTGGTATACAAATTTGTGGTTGTGAACAAATAATAGGATGTTTTGAAGAGCAGCAAAGCGTAACGTTTTCAACTGGTTTGAGACTTTTCCATTCAAGGATAATCTGAAAATTATAGGGTTTTTACAAATTATAAATTATAAGGTTTATACCTTTAAAGTAGTTTTGAGTTACTCAGTCACATGACTTTATATACAAAAGAATATAAAAAATAATTAGTTTTTTTAAACGATAAAAACCTTTTTTTTTAAGCAAACAATTGTCAATATAAAAGTTTTCAAATTAAGTAGTTACCATAGTAATATTTTTACCATAGTAATAATAATAATAATAACAACAACAACAACAATAACAACAACAGCAACAATAACAAAAACTAAAAATTAAACCTCAACAGTTATAGAGGGTGATATAGGATGGTCACCATCATTATCAATTAGCTCTTGAGATTTCTAAATTAAAATAACATAACATCATTTAACATGGGTAATTAACTAGTCCTCACGCTACTATGCGTAAGATTTTGGTTTTAACTGCTTTATTAGTAAATATATATACTAGCAGAAATTTTCAACATATTTAAAAATAATTAGAGATACATAGTTATAAATATCTACATTTTTATTTTTAAGTTTGAAATAATATAAAAACAAATTATAACTTATTATTTATTTTTTAAGCAGTTCCTTTCTCAACCTTTTATGAATGAAACACGAGCCTTGATAAACAAGGCCACTGCATAGAGAAACAATTTTTTTTTTACTGTATTTACCTCCTGAAGCTACTAGAGTACAATAAGCATTGTTTCTTCTATAATTACAAATCTTTCTCAACCCTATAACTTTGAAATATGAGCCTTGATATACAAGGCTACTGTGCAGAGAAATACGAATTACTAGAATTGCAAAGCCGCTGTGCAGAGAAATACAAATTACTAGAGTTGCAAGGCCACTGCACAGAGAAATACAAATTACTAGAGTTGCAAGGCCACTGTGCAGAGAAATACGAATTACTAGAGTTGCAAGGCAGAGAATTGCAAGGGATACAATTAATTATTTGAAAGTTTTAACAATATAATAAAATAATAAGGTAAAAATTCTCACCGAAGTTTCATCTAACCTTTCAGGTAACACAACATTTATGGACAAAGGTTCTTTTACAGCAGGTGAGAGATCTACAACAATACAATAAAAATTGAAAAAATAAAAACAAATACTTTAATTTCATTTTTAAGAATTATTACAATTAAACTAAAAAAATATCACAACTCAAATAGCTTATTTGATTTGTTTTTTTTATTCTGATTCATTACCAACAAGGCTGCAAGCAACCACTATTAAGTTGGGAGTTACTAGAAAAAAAGAATTATAGAACCTGGCAACGGTTTACAGAAGACTTAAAAAGTTGAAGGTTGTATGAGTCAGGAAAACATGGGAGATGTGAGAGTTCCAAAGGGTTGAGGAGCAAGAAAAAAACTAGACATATAAAAGTTTTTAGAGCATGCAGGGACAGACACAGTAAAAGAATGAGACTTTGCTGAATGACGAGTCAAGCAAGAATGAGTTTTGATGGAATTAGAGATGATAGCTCCTTTGAACAGCGACCATGATAGTATTTGTAGAAAAGAGAAAGAGATGCAACTTTATGACAATAGGAAAGACACTCAAGCTTAGCAGATAAAGCGCTGTAAAAAACGTAGCCAACTACGTTTACAATGTGTTTTTGGACATGTCTAGACATGAAAGAACATCATAAAGTTGAGTTGATAAATAAATTAAAAAACTTTTAAGATTGTTTTATACTTTCTATTTTTAATAATTTCTTAAACTTAAACAATAAATCTTATTTATTTTATACTTTTATAATATTTTATTATTATTATTATTATTTTATGCTTTATATTCAATTCAAAAAACAATTTTTATTTAATTATTATTTAAATAGACTTCAATTATTTTGTTATATTTTATTTTTTTGTAATAATTTTTTTGTTTCTATTACTAAATCATTATTAATGTTATTTAAACATATAATATCAATAAAACCATTACAAATAAGTAAAATAAAATTTAAGTCTAGTAAATATTTTGTTAAATTTTTGAATATTTTAAAAAGTTCTTGTAGTAGAAAGTTGAACTTTTTAGCGCTAATTTATTTTTCTACTCTACTATTTATATTATTATGATAGAGAATTTTATACTGATCAAAGTTAATATAAAAACATAGACCTAAAAATCAAAACGGAAAGTTCTTTAATTTGATGTTGAAGTTAAAACACCAAAAATGCTAATTATCACTATTTTTTTGTAACTTAGGAATAACAATTTTTTTTTACACCACCTGGTTTTACTACAGTATATAAGTAATTAAAATTTTATTTTCATTTGAAGAATTTGAAAAAAAACAACTAAATATTAAAAAAAATAGATGTGGTTGTTTATACATACTGAATTTTTACACAACTGGCTAGTTATAAATACCATATGGCACTTTTTTATTTTTTGTACACACATCGACTTGGGTTGATGAATTTTTTTATACATACATTGATGATTTGTATATACATTGGGTTTGGTTAAGAGGTTTTTCGTACATACATTGGGTTTGATTGAGAGATTTTTTGTACATACATTGGGTTTGGTTAAGAGATTTTTTCTATATACATTGGGTTTGATTAAGAGATTTTTTGTGCATACATTATTTTGATGAAGAGATTTTTTGTACATACATTGGGTTTGGGTAAGAGATTTTTTGTACATACATTGGGTTTTAGTATAGGCAATCAATCTTAATGCCAACTCTAAACCTCTTTCTCTGTGTACGTACACTCCCTGCATGTTTCACCTATTTAACTCAATGTATCTCTTTTACATGTTTCTCAACAACCAACTATCATAAAGTTTCATAAATTTTTCTCAACAACCAACTATTAAAAAGGTTCATAAATTTACTCAACAAGAGATTAAAAAACATATAATTTAAAAACAAAATATTTTTGCAATTTGAATTTGTTTAAATAAAACTTAACGTTAATAAAACGGAAATACAAAACCATTTGCTATATAAAAAGATTATACTCAATGTTCGATCAGAATAAAAACTGGAAATATTTTTAATCGTAGATTAAAATCATAGATATCATGTTACTGCAAAACTATAAATAAAAGTTATGTTTTAAAAAATATGGCAATTATTAGCATTTTTGCTGTGTTTTTTTAACACTTCATCATCATATGTTTTAAATTTGTTAACTTTTTGGTTGTTTTTTTTTAACACTTCATCATCATATGTTTTAAATTTGTTAACTTTTTGTTACATGTACTTCAAAATGATTACTGTGATATTTTCAGTTACTATTTTCAAAATAAGTGTTTAATATTTTTAGATTGTTTAATACCAATAACTTTTATTAAAATTGTTTTATTTCGACATATACCACTTTTGTTCTGTAGACCAAAATATTGATTTGCTATTTAAAGCGTGGCTTGACTTGGCTTTTCCATAGTGTGAAAATCTCAGCATTTTCAAAGGCATAAACAGTCAAAATGCGTTAACATGGTCAAAAATGGTTGAGAAGCTATTTTAAGGGCACTTAAATAAAAAATATTTATTTCTTTTAAACAGAAAAACTGTGAGAAAACCAAATTTTTTTTACATTGACTAAAGATAACTGACTCAAACCATGGTTAGCTTCAGGGGTGCAAAAAATTAACAATACATTTCTCAATTATCTCCTAAAAAGTATAAAAATATTTCAGCCTCCCTTTTCCACATCCAGAGCAGCAGCATTTTTCCAAAAAACAAACTACCATCATACTTTCATTGGTGTTTTATTTGTCATTTAAACGGCCTAAACAAATAATATCAGATAAATGTTAACAACAACAAAAAAAAAAAAAAAATTTAGCATGTTTTTTTTAACAACAGATTAGGGTTGTTTTGAAACAATATTTATAAAAATAATGTAAAAATTATCACAGTGGCACAAAAAGAGAAAACCTCTATCAAAAGTTTTTTAAAAGTACATTAATTTTTGAAGATAGAAAATGTTATGAAGAGAAGAGAGATTCTTTGAAAAGCAATCAAAATTATTTGTAAACACTGCATCATCATAAAATTTTATCTAAACTGTTATCAAGTCTGACAAGTAGCATTAATTTAAATAATTATTTCATTGTGAGAAAGATGCCTCAAAATTATTACTGATTTTCATAGAATGGAGGATCATCTGCATTAAGAAAATTTTAACTAAGCCAAATAATCATTGAGTTTGTCAGAAGAGCATCAGGATATCCTTTTTACAACTTTAGGAAATTTTATTGTGGAAAGCACTAGAACATTTGACTATGATTCACTGGAAAATATGATGATGATTCTTGCACTAAAACATTAGATAATGATTACGTTGTTTATCATTTTAATAGTCTGTAGTAATAATACAATAATATGTAACAATATTTGTAAATAAGTTAAACTATTTTGATAGTAATTTTTATAGAATATTTGTGATTTATTATTATACATTATTATTATACAATTTAGGTTAAATTTTGTAAAAGGCAGAGTTTGATTTAGTGAAACCATATTGATTGATTTTTTCATTTAGAGAAAACTGCAGTAACTCTTAAAGATAAATTTTTACTGAAATTTTTTTTTTTTAATTATTTTAAAGTGTTAAAAAGTAGTGCTATTTTAGGTCTGCATTTTGTAAACTTCTTAATTTTTTATTTAAAGCAAAAAAGTGACATAAATTATTATTTCATACATAACTCATAACATAGAAATATTAAGACATAAGCCACTTATGTCTTAATATTTCTCATATCATTAATTTAATATGTTGCTGTCATTATAAAACCTTTTATTTCAAATTTTAATGTGCTTAAGTTATTAGTTAAGTCTGCGTGTTTAACACACATTAAAGAGATAATTTTCTTTCTTATAAGAAAAAAAGATTTTACATTCAAACTTTTATTTTCTTCAAAATTAATTAACAGGATAAGGATCTCGACAGCTAGTTTATATTAATATACAATAATTTATCATTAGGTTTTTTATAACGCTAATAAAAATTTTCGGAGAGACCATATGTGACATCAAGAAAATTCAAAGTTTTTAAATTAGTGTTTATTTCAATTTGGAAGCCAATGTTTTTGAAAATCTTTATAATATTTTTTCGAGTTGAGCCCCGGATTTTTTTTTGCATTATTATTAAATTACCAAAAAGTTTGCAAGAAAAATTTGAAATTATTACATATTTGAATCAAGAAAATTTACTAAACAAAAAATCTGAATTAATTTCTAAATCCAGACATGAAATCAAGTATCTTTTAAAAAATTGTAAAAACAATGTGTGTGATATAGTAAATATATTGTGTGATATAGTAAATATAGAAAAAGGTAAAACTATGCACACAAAAAAAAAAGGAAAAAAACTTGACAAAAATCTTTTAAAACATTTCCAAGGGTTGAATTAAGCGATCGCGAAATGAAAATTTTTTAAAATTAACCAATTAACACTTTATGTTTGTTAATTTTAAAATTAATGCGCGTTTTTAAGGACCGTTAGTGTTTGTGTTTTTCATAATGCTAAACTTTTTATACGATACGTTTTTATAAAGTTTCTTAATAAGTTTTTAATGTTACTTGAAATATCCACTCTATTTTTCTAGATGCTTTTTTACTTCGATTAAAATTTGGGATTATTTATGTTGCTTGAACAAAGAATGAATCATAAAAGTTAAAAATGCATTATAAAAGTAATAACACTATTACAGTGTTATTACTTTTATTATGCAGTTAGTTACTTGAGTTTTATTACTTTTATAGTTGTAAGTTTTTTTTTTTTTTTAAACTTTTTAAAAACAAATTTAAGTTAATTTGCCCCTTGAAAAAAAACAAACAACACGGTTTTGCATAAACTAAAATTTTGAAGACCAAATATTTTTCCGGATTTTTCATTTCATGATTACTTAATTCAACCATTGATTTCTAATTAGCAATTTAGTACTAATGAATATGAAAACAAGATCATGTTAAAAAGCAATCTAAAATATGATTATCATATATCTATTTGTATTTCTAAAGTACATAGAAATTTAGGCATTATCCAACACAAATTTTTATTTTTAAATGCTGATATAGTTAAATTGTTATATATTTTGCTAGTGCTCTATATACTAGCCCTCATCATGAATACCCTTCTGCTATTTGGAAACCATTTCTGAAAAAAGATATTACTTTTATTGAAAGAGTACAGCAACGAGACTACTTCAAGCATACAATACAAGTACAGCATAGAGCAACGAGACTACTTTCAACATACAATACAAGTACAGCATAGAGCAATGAGACTACTTCCAGCGTACTCAAAGCTACTATGAGGAAAGATTAAAAAGACTGAACTTAACAATTTTATTAATGAAAAGAGAAAGAAGTGACTTAATTATCTTAAGTAACTTTTATCTACCAACAGCGCCTGCTGGAAGTGTCTATAAATATATCCATATTCACGGACACTTCACATATTATATTTATATTTATAAGTATCTATGTATATAATATGAAATTGAAAATATTTGATGAAGGGGCAAATTAAGCCAAATCGCAAATTGCAGTTGGTCCAATGTCATTTAACAATCTTGGAAGTATCGAAATCGCTATCGTTAAGCAACTGCAATTGCGATTTGCTAATTCTTATATTTCTGAGTGAAAGTTTTAATGAAAAAAATGTAATCATGTTTTAAAACGATGTTGATGCAAAGTAACCTAGAAAAATTGATATTTGAAAAGAGTGAAGTGTTTGAATTAAAAAAAAAAGAGAGTAAATTGCGGGAAAGCAAACTAAAGAAAGAAAAGAAAATAATGTTGTTTTATGAAATAAAGAGTATAAGTAAAAGTTTTTTTAAAATAAGGTCGAAAATTGTGTGACATAATTTATGGACAACTTTTAAACGATTCTAAATGTGGTTTTAAAATTAAATTTAATTACAATACGGTACTTTAAAATACGCAACTAAAGTAATATAACTTTTAACAATGTAAATATGAATATTGAGTAAAGTTAAATTAACTTATGTTACACTTTTCTGTCATGCAACAAAACCTCATAGCAAGGCCTGACTTAATTTATTTTATAATTTTATAACTTCTTATATTTATAAGGTTTTATAACTTTAATAAACATATATTTGTTTGACTTCTATGATTTCAATTGGATTTTTTGGATTTGAGTTTTTTTTGGTTTTATTTATGAAATAAAGTTGTCAGATAATGATAAGTTTGAACATTTAACATTTTACATTTTGTGCAATGCATTTGCACTTTTTTGTAGCATATTTGTGCATTTAGGAAGTATTGAGATTTTCATGCTATAGATAAGTCAAGTCAAACCTCCCGTTTAATTTGCAAATCATTCTAAGCAAAACTTTGGTTTATTTTCAGTTCTAGTCATAAGAGTGACATATAAAATATATTAAAAAAAATAAACAAATAAAACATAAAACAAACAAACAGAATGATTTTAATGATTATTTTCTAAAATTTTTGAATTTAATTTAGACAGGTCAGTTTTTCTTATGCCAACAACTATGTGATACTGAGAATTATTAAAAATCTGATCCTAAATAACAATAGCCAAAAGTTTTTTTATTAATTTTATAAAATGTACTAATGACATTATTGCATAACTTTTTGTTTACGTTAGCTGAAATAGGATCACTAGCAACAGTTTTAACAATTGAGAAACCTACTGTAAATAGAGTACATCTCACCCCTTTTATAGATTTGATAAACAAAGACAGATGATAGTATTATCAGTACGACCTTGTATCACAATGACATTACTTGAAAAACACACTCTAGCAAAATTTACAAAAGCTAAACATGGTAAAAAGTTATTAATTTCCTAAACATGGTAAAAAGTTATTGAAATAAAACTTGTTGTCTTTAATAAAAAAAGGAAAAGAAAGAAAACAAATGAAAGAAAAGAAAAAATTATAAATGACAGACAGAAAACATTTAGTCTGGTATTAGGTATGGAAATTTCTTAAAATATGCCTCTTATTATAAAGTGATCTTAGATTAACCTTTTGAAATAGCAAGTTTTAATAAATTTATGCAGAGTAAAATTGTGATGACAGAAACCAGGTCTTCATACTTTTACAAATATTGTCATGAAAATAAAATTCCTGTTATCAAACATTTTTTTTATTAACAACAAAATTCTAAAAGGGCAATCCAAATAGATTCTTTTAATAAAAAAAGCAGAACAAATCAATAAAAGTTAGAATTTAGACTGTACAGTTTTCTAATGTATTATCTCACTATAATATGGAGGTGAAGTCAGATAATGTTGAGAATGATTATATGTTAATAATGAATGATTATATGTTAATAATACTTGAGAATGATTATATGTTAATAATACTTACTCACCAAATATACAAGTGATTAGAAAACAAAAATCTCCACAACTTGAGGTTGCTAGCAAAATTCATCATGTTTAAGGATATGACTGTGCCATATCCTTAAACAGCTAGCTTTGGTCAAAAACCATAACTAATTTATAGAGGATATTGTACAATTATGTCTGCTCATCTGAAGTGATTGTATTCACAATGGTCTGTAGTTAAGATATAGAAGTAATGAGATTTGCAGTGCAAAAAATTAAAGCAAAAATAAGAACTTTGGAAACAGAAAAAGCTAAGCATTTAAAAATAATTTTAGCGAAATCAAAATGGAGCATGCATTGGTTATGTAAAGCTCTTATGTGAACAGTTTCCTAAACTTCACAACAATGCATAATGACCTGATATCATAAATAACATTATAACAGAAGAATGTTGATAATAAATTCAGTCAAACGAATTTAACTAATTTGGAAACATGGGAGAACAGTGAACTGATTCTTATTTGTTCTTTGATGAAGCAAGAAATGATACAGTTTAATGACAAACCATTTATTGTACCTGAAATGTAAAAGTAGCGCTCATTATCATATGGCAAACAATGTAACAACACAAGTAATTTGACCACCAATTATATTACACCCTAAATTTTACAATAGTATATTTCAACAACTGTTATTATGAGATGATGAAATTAAATTTTATACATTCACCAGACATTCACATTTGATCGCTATTTTATATTGTGCATTTTATCTTGCACCATAATAAACTTAAAAAAAAAAAAGAGAAATATATTGCATATGTACCTGTACCACTTTCAGACGCTTGAATAAATTTATTCAAATCTTTTAATTCTTTATCTAAAGCCTAAAATACAATTGATTATCTAAAATTTATCCAATATTTTTTAAGATTTTTTAAACAAACTTGATTGACTCACATCAAAGTTATTTTCTCGTTCTGTAACTTTTGGTATAGTAAATAAAGAAGGAGTGGTTCCTAAGTACGAGCAGAAAATATACCCATGTTCGTTAAGTGTTACAATCACTCCCTGTAAACCACTAAATTAAATATCAAATTTATAAAGTTATTAAAAATTTATAAAATTATTATAATAATAATAAACAATTATTAAATGAATATTTATTAAAAATGTTTATTTATTAAACATTTATTTTTAAACAGTATTTATAAAAATAACAAGCTTATGTAAAAAATTAATTAATAAATTAATTAAAAGAAGACATGAATACAAATACAACCCTCGGAATTAGTAAAATTGAGGTCGGCAATAACTTGGTGACCTTTATCTTTTAGAGGTCATAGAAATGAGGTTGCCAAAAAATTGCCAACTACAAACACTTTCATGTTGGCAGTTAGGTTGACATTGCTGAATGCCAACCCTAATTCCTAGGGTTGCAAATAGAAATAATTGATTATAAAAAAAAAATAGAAAAATAAAATCAAATAAAATGGTTAACAGATGGTATCCACAAAAACACAGTCAAAACCTAGCTATTGTATCAAAGAAAACAAGATTAGGTAAGAATGTTTAGTAATGCCTTGTCTATTCATCTTTTTCAATACCAGTATTTTTAGTTTTACATGAAGAAAGCATTGCTTAAAATGTAATATTTAAAGCATAAAATGTAATATTTAAAACTTCTAGATGCAATAAACAATGCTTGTTCATCTCCTAATGAGAATATGAAATCATGTTTGCTCGAGAGTTTGGGAAGGAGGAAATGATAAGTTGTTTAACTGATATTTTATAAAAAAACTTATTAATAAAATTTATTAGTTAAAGTTAAACTTATTTAATTTAAAAGTAAAACTCTTACTTCCTTTTATTAACAAAGGGTATATCCATTTATGCACATGATTTTTTATTTTTCTTTGTTTTTACGATTAGAAGCCAAGACGTATAGCAATATATACTATTAATACATACTATTATGATTTTCTTAAATAACAACTTTAACAAAAACATTTTTTTTTTTATGTTTTAGGCTACCTGAATATTAAACATATATTTTTTTATTATTTTATTTGGTGTTTGTTAGTGAAACAATAGTTTGAAAAATGTACAATATTTTTCTAAACGCTTTAATCTAGCCAGAAATATTTGATGACTGCTATTTCTCATCAAAAATACAATAAATATGAGTTGTAGAAATATAATATTTTATATTATATTTATATAATATAAAATATTATATTAATATTTATATAAATTAGAATTAAATAAAATCAAATTGGAGAGTTTTATCAGTTTTATTATTATTAAAATAATAGACAAAACATATACGAGTTTTCGTGCATGATTTTTTTTTTCAAATTCAACATTGGTAGCGTAACGAGAGGCAAAATGAGACACTTAAGCGCTAATATATCTAATAGGGCCCGTCTAACAACTTTTTAAAAAAAAAAATTGATTTTTTTCAATTCTTCTACCATCCTACTTGAAGCTTAAAAAGTATGAGTTGCAAAACTGCAGTAGTTTGGTCACCAGAGATCATTTATTGACAGCACCTATACTGTCTCATTTTGCCCCGCATACCGGGGCAAAATGAGACAGATTTTTTTTTTTAGTTATTTAAATAAATAAAGTTAAACAAAACAGATTTTTAAGAGGATTAGCAAGAAATACATTTTATAATATATTACAGTTATAATCAAACTGTCACTAGTCACATAAATCACATATTGCTTGACCAGTATTTTGTAACGAACAACAGTCCGAATGAGCCCAGGTTGTGCATTTTGAACATTGACTCCACTTACATATATATATATATGTATATATATATATATATATATATATATATATATATATATATATATATATATATATATATATATATATATACCCACTACAAGAACTAATAAAACCATACATGCATATATTAAACTTATGCACTTAAAGCACGCATAACATTCATTGTATTTTGTTTATAGGTACTGCAATAACCTATATGTTATAATCTACTCACTATATATTTTATATACTACTTACTTTATTACATTACAATTATAAACATCAGGCAATTATTTGCTTCAATTTGATTAAATATTTATTATATTTAAGTATAAGTTAACAAAACATAAAACGTAATTCTATATTGGATAACAACTAAACATTTCAATTAACAAAATCAAAAGTAAGTAAATACAGTATAATAAATTTAAATCTACAGCATGTGAATAATAATATTTGCTTTACTTGTTGTTTTAATGTAAAAAATTAAATAAACATAATATTAGATATCGGCAAAAAAAAAATACAAACAGAGTGTCTCGTCTTGCCCCGCATCGTGTTGGCATCGAATAGTCTAATTTCCAGACTAATTTATTGAAGAAATAAAATACCAAAAAATGGAAATGAAAGAAAAAGGCCTAAGGATTCTAATTAAAAAAAAACTTTAAATATAAAAAGCTTTTCCACTCAGTGAGGTCAAAAAAGGCTAGAAAAAAATATAACAACACTTAAAAATTCGTAATTTTCGCAAAGCTGAGGGATGAAATGATTCCCTTTTTACTCAACTTTTTTATTTCAAAGTGACTCAATATATTTTTCTTGACACAAAATAGTTTTTAAACACAACTGCACTTTTAAAAATATTGCAAATAATAGTTTTTAGGGCTGGCATCATGTTAAACGCGAACTGTCTCGTATTGCCCCGCTGTCTCATTTTGCCCCGCGTTACCCTATTATACCAGTATTAAAATTATTCAGTACCAAAATACTGGTATTGAAAAATGATTTCAGTATTGGATGCATAGTTTTAAGCAAGGCAATTTTAGGTTCAAATTTCTCCATAAAAACATGGCTTTATATAACATTACTTTCACGACAATTAATTCTAGGTATATTGTTTGTTTAATTAAAAAATACTTACATTTTTCTAAATATAAGTACTTTTGTTTTTATAAGTTAAAAATTGTTATAAAGAACTATTTTAAAAGATAAATGCATGAACAAATAAGAAGGATGATCGATTGGAGATAATAAATTATTTTATATTAAATGTTTAAATCAAGCTCCATAATTATAAACGAATCCAGAATGAAAAGATTTTTTAAAACTAGAGGTTTCAGTAAAATCTTATTAGCTTTCTTTTGAAAAACTATATAGCTTTGAATATAACAACACAATTAAAATTAATTAAAAGAAAACTTTATAACTTAATAAATAACAACACAATTAAAATTAACAAAAAACAAATTATAACTTTAAATATAACAACTCAAATTAAAAATCTATTAAGAATAATTTGATACCATAATTGATACAACTTATTTGTATTTGTTTCAGAAAAAGTTTGATATAATAAAATTGATAATTGAAAAGAGTGAAGTGTTTGAGATTTTGTAAATAAAAAATAAATATAATGAATCTTAACAAATTATTTATATTATATATTAATTTTGTTTTATTAAACTATTTAACTTACTCAAAATTTCCGATTCTACAAGAAACTGAGTCATGCGGTAGTTGTGCAGCCCAAATTAAAATGTGATCTTCATAAACAAGAAGCATAGAGGAATAAGTACAAACTAAATTTATCTTTACATCTGAACTACCTATAAAAATTTTTGAAAAATATACTTATTCAACATACATCTTAACAAACTTTTCAACATCTTGCAACTAAGAAGCATAAACACATTTAGTCTCATTTATTAAAAAAAAAAAATACTTTTTACTTGGTTTAGTATAGGACAAAAGGCAGTTTGGAGAATATTCTAACTTTTTCATATGCACAATTTCCCCAGATATGTTAATAGTGAAAAGGGACCTTTCACCTAAATATATTAAAAAAAAAAAAAATCAAAACCACAAAGAAACTTTTATAACACACAAATTAAAATTACTTTATTATAAATAATATCTGACTTTTTTTATATTATTTTATTTTTAATTTTTTCATTTTTTTATATTATTATATTTTTAATTTTTTCATTTTTACTTTTAAAGTATTTTTATATTAGAAACCTAGCACTTCAATGGATCCTATTTATACCTAGCACTTCAATGGATCCTCCAGAAAATTGTATTGACACTAAATGCTCCCCCAACATTTTTGACCAATCAGGCTAAAGAAATATGAGTGTTTAATGATTAAGTGAAAATTGCTTGTTACTGAATTTAATTATTACAACAAATGTAGTAATAAATATACATACTAAAATCTTTTTTGCATTTTTGTCACTGACAGATGATGATGCCAATGTTCCATATCTGAATGAAAGCACATTAGCTAAAGATTGAGTATATACACAATACACACACACACACACACACACACACACACACACACACACACACACACACACACACACATCATGGATTAATGTAATCCAAGCTTTGCAAAAACTTGTTATGAAACACAAGATTAAGTTTTTAACATTTTTTAGGAAATTCATGGAATAAGGCTATTCAATTGTTGAACATAAAAATTTGAAAATAAAATAATCCATAATCCTTTTAAAAATTATGTATAAGTAATAACCCTGCTTTTTTTTTATTACTTCATATCTTGCTGCCATGAATCATCTATCCATAAAATTGTCTTTGTGTATTTTATGACCAATCATTAAAACATATTGGAAAACTTGTTTTAAGCTTTCTTTGCGTAATGCATTTTATATTTATTATAGGTTATAGATTTAAACAATTGTAATTAACTTATTTTATTTATAACTAAATTATTAACAACTTTAATTAAAGATTACTAAAATTTTTCATCTGCAAACATTTTCTTAAACTACTATTTACTATAACTATTTTGAAACATTTTTTAAATATTATTTTTCTTATTTTTAAATTTATACTTAGTAAAATCTTTCTTGTCTTTATCAAAATGCCAGTTAAAATGTTAAAAGCCATATAACAATTGTCTGTCAATGACAGACAATTTGAAAATAAAACTTTTAAATGAACAACAATGTTAATGATTCAGTTTTAGAGATTGATGCTTTTAAAATTATTGAAACTGGCTAATGTAAACAAACTGGGCCGTTTGTTTACATTAGCCATAGTAAAAAACTTGAGTTTTTATATCAGCATTGCCTGGTGATGACCTGGATTTTAAGGGCTTATATTATCATGCATGGTGTATTCTTGGTACTGCAAGTAACAGTTAAATTAATATTTTACAAGCATGTTGATAATGTTATGTAATTAATTAAGTTATCACATTTACCACACTTATTATATTTGAGTTAATGCAAGATGCATTAATTTAGAAATAGGATTTGAATCATAAAATTTTAAAAATTGAGGCAGCCCCTCTAAACTACTTTCAATTATTTGGAAGATAATAGAAGGCCTTTATAGCCAACAATTTTTTTTAATAATATGAGGAAAAAAAAAAAAGAAAAAGGAAAAAAAATATATCATAAACTTTATGATTTCATTTTTGAACATCTATTAAACGTGTTGCTGATAAAAAAAGTTATGATACTTAATAAGTTTTTATAGAATAACCTATTAATTATTAAATAATTTATTATAATAATAATAAATAAAAACTATTTTTAGGGGTTGCTACAGAGTTGCTACACTTTTTTTCTTTATTTTAAAAATAAAACTTTAAGAATAAAATAAGAATGAAAAAAAAAAACCTTACTTGTAACATTGCAAGCTTCTATTACTGACACCAAACACAAATGAATCTTTTGAACTAATGTAAACAAACGGCCCAGGTAACAGAAAATCAGGAAGAAAAGCTTGAAATGAAAAAATTTCTTGCTCATAAAATCTTAAAACACCATCCATTGAAAGAATACAGATAAAGTCTTTGTCTAAATTAAAATAAAACTCTAAAATATTAAAATGAGAAGCTAAAATTGAGATTAAGAAGCTGAGACATGATCAACCCTCAGAATTCGGCATTCGGCAATGCCAACCTAACTGCTGACAAAAGTATTTGAGATTGGTAAAAAATTGCCGACTTCATTTCTATGTTTTATGGTGAGACCTTTTTATCAATTTTTTTTGCCCCAAACTGATGCTGACCTCTAAAAGATTGAGGTCGGCAAACTATTGCCGACTTTGTTATTCCTAATTCTGAGGGTTGCATAATTAAGAAAATTATTTTATTCTTCTCAGCCGATTATATTAAAAGAAGTTTATAATATATAAAAAATACTCAGCATCAGTTCACAGAACAGCATCGGTTCAGTTTTTTTATTAAATTTTAAGTGTGAAATCTTAGATAACAAAAACACATTATACATTCTCATGCTACTTTGAGCATAAAAACAATAAACACAAATATTTTATAATAAATATATATAATATATATAATAATATTTTATAACACTAGAGTCAAAACAATAGAATTCAATAACAAGACTTTTTTTAAATAGATTTTCTTGTACTGATGGTGGTTTCCCATTAGTACTACTTACTGCTATTAATTCTTTTCCCTTTTTAAGGAACTTTTTATGGTTTATTTATACTTTCTGGGCCAATCTTAGATAACAGTATTAAAACCTTATACCTCATCAAGCAGGATTGTTTCTGTCTGATGATACCCAAACATACCTTAAGAGCAGCAGACAAGTTGTTACAAAATGTTTTCAATAAAAACTGTCTGTTGAATAAATAAAAAAAAATTCACCCAACTTTACTTTTTTTGTTTTGTTTTCATGCCTTTTGCTTTGTTTTTTTGTTTTAATAATCTAGTATCTAATTTATTTTTATTTTTTTTATCTATCATTCAAATAAAACAAATAACTTTACGTTTTAAGTTATTGTTAAATTTAATTCTAAATAACAATTTCAACTTGTTACTATTAAAAACTTGAAACATAAAACTATTTTCTTTTGCATAAAATGTTTCAAACTTTTTCTCATCCATTATAACCTTGCCATATTGGTCATAACCAGGTTGTGTAGAAGGATATTGTGTATAACCAGGTTGTATAACTGAAATGTTAAATTGCATTACTATGTTAAGCCATGTTGCATAACAAGCAAATATTTTTTTACTGCAGACAAAACATGCTCGGCTATTTTGTATTACTGGTATGTTATGTTGCATAACTGACAATGTATAAAAGCAAGATGGATTGTCATTTACTAATGTTAATTAATGGTTACAAATCAAAAAAATAACTTTTATTTTTTTATTGTTTACTGTTGAATTTTTATTAGATAAATCATAATTTTTATTAGATAAATCATAAATCAAGCTCCTCCTACTTTTACCTGAAATTAAATTGAGAGACATATTCTTTTTATAGTTTACACTCTCATTTAATAGTTCTTATTCTCACAAATATGTTGTCTTCATAATGACTAAAGATGATTTAAAATGACCTGCCATAATATAAGATCAACTTAAAGTCTAAATCACCCAGCAAAAATTCTATAGCAGATTTTCAGTGGACCTTTTATAGGCATATTGAGGGGCCTGCTAAATATGCCTATATAGGTAGCTTTGCTCATCAGTTACTTAGTGGACCATTAGTAGCAGTTGCTAAAAATGGCTAGGCGATGACTAGCCACTATATCACATAGGGGAAAATTATTGGCTGGCCACTTACAGCGGATACCACTAATGGTCCACTAAGAAACCGATGAGCAAAACTCCAATGAACCGTTTAAAATGCCTATATAGGTCCACTGCAAATCCTCTAAAAAAATGTTTGTAAATACTATTTTAACTATTTGAATATTTAATTAAAATATATTGATTAAAATAATTTATTTAAAAAAAGCAAAACAAAATAAGAAATAAAAGATCTTTTTGCAATTCTTTTATTATATATTTACAAAACTATTAAATCAAATGCAACTTTATTTGTATCAAATAAAAGTTTATTCTTGAGTCAAAGGATTTAAAACTTTATACAAAAGCTATTTAAAACATCATTTTCTTTAATTCATCTTGTTCTTTTTATTGCTTTGAAGTTCTTAAAATATCCTCATTAATATGTTGGATATATAAGTTTAAACAGTAATCAAAAATGAGTTCAACATATTTCAGCCTATAGAATTAAGAAATGCTGTGATGTTTCCAGGAAACTACAAAAAATATTCAACTTTGGTCTTCATTGATTTGTTCAGACACCACTGTTTGCTCTTTACGTTCGTCACTTAGAAATTCGTACACTGTTACAAACTCTGCTTTTTTACTTTTTTTAGCTTTAGATTGTTCATTGCACCGTGAATTTTTTACAGTGGAAACTTGATTCACTTCTGTTGATGGTAGTAATGAATAAAAGAGAGAACTATCTACAGTTTTGGATTGTTGTTTTGCAGAATGAAGTCGAAACATTTTATAAAAAACTAATCATTTTTTTACTCTTTTATATAATTTCATTTTAACTTAAATCAAATTTTAATTTTAAAGATAGTATTAAAAACTCAAAACAGTTGATTAAAAAAAAACCAACTGTTTAGATTGATGATGCTGTTGATTGATCATTGATGATGAATAAGCCAACTATAATAGTTACTATTGTAGACTTTTGTTTTGTTTTTCATTAAACTCATTTTATATTTATTAAGCAACAATGTTGTGTTTCAAAAGAAACCATTGTGAAACATAACAATACTCATTTTATCGATGTTATTATATATATATATATATACATTAATATTATTTACAATTATCTTGAAAGACTTGTGCTCATTATCCTGGTAATAAAATAATCTTTTTTCTTCTTCTTCTTCCTCTTCTTTTTTTTATGTAAAATAATTTATTTGAAGGGATGATTTAAAGTGAACACAACATTTTTATTCATGGGATAAAATAGAAATACTTTTTATGATTACAGAAAAATGTTTTTTTTATATTATTATATAAATAATTAAATTAACCAACAAGTGAACTACAAATAATATATAAATAATTGATGCAACCAACAAGCAAATTATCAAAAACATTGTATAGAAATAAAGATAAAATAAGAAAAAAGTCTAAAGCATAGTGCAAAAAACAGTTTTTTGTTTTTAACAATAAAATAAAATTTTAATTTTTACAGTAAAATCAAATTTAACAAAAAATTTAAATTTAAAAACCTTTCCTATTTAAATTGTTTTTGCTTTGTATAATGTTAATCACAACTGACATTGTGTCATAGTTCACATTTGACATTGTGTCATTGTTCACATCTGACATTGTGTCATTGTTCTTTATTGTCTTTAATTGATAATATATTTTTTAATAATATCTTTTTTTAAATAATTGTCACTCTTATTGCTTCTCAACTACATATTTATAAATAGTATAAATTATTTTCCTTTTCAATTCAAATATTTAAAAAACATTTTTAATGAACAAGAACACAACCAGAAACAATTATGTCAATGAAAATAACAACAGACTTGTGAAGGAGTTGATTAATTAAATACAAGCAAAGCTTTGACATTTGGTTTCTTCATAAATAAATCATAAACTAAATAACCTTTTACACCACCAAATGGTCCATACACCATACTTGATGACACATGTTCCAAGCGATGCTCATATATTAGCTTGGTTGAAAAAAATTGACTTTGCTCAACAAATCCAACGACACCTTTAAATAAAAACAAGTCTTCATGAACTTTAATTTTCTTTTTTGAGTGAACAAAAATTACTTTTACAATTTAAAATTTTATAATACTTTTATTATAAGTTATACTATAATATAATAAATTTATAAAATATTATAATTCATCTATTTTATAAATTTATATTATATATAAATTTATAATATAACAAATGTACAAAATATTATGCTTATGATGGGCATTTAATGTAATAATGAATTTAAAGAAATAAAGTATAAATAATAAATATTTCGAAAAAGAAGAAAAAGCAGAAGATGAATACCCAAAAAGTATATTAGTATATTTCAAGCAAACAATAACAAAAAGTAACTAGTATATTTCACAGAAACAATAAGTGCAATGGCTACATGCATTTAAGCCAGAGGGCCACAACTTTTAAGAACCTAGCAAAACAAACTTTTCTTATAGTGTTTTAAAAAGCTTATTAAACTCTTTCTAGATTCTGCAGATAATAATGTTTTATTTTTTTTGCCTAACAAATTTATCTTTAAAAACGATGTAATGTGTAACTATTAATTGCTAAATTAAAGATTTATTTAACTTTTACTCATGCAAAACATTTTAAAATTTCAAATAAAAATATTAGCAAAGTATTTTTCAAATTGAAGTCAAATTGTTCCTTAGTATTAAATAAAAGTCAAAAATTAGATAGCAAGTTGGGTCTTTGATAGCAAGTTGGATATTAGATAGTTGGGATATTTGATAGCAAGTTGGATATTAGATAGTTGGGATATTTGATAGCAAGTTGGATATTAGATAGTTGGGGTATTTGATAGCAAGTTGGATATTAGATAGCAAGTTGGATATTAGATAGCAAGTTGGGTATTTGATAGCAAGTTGGATATTAGATAGCAAGTTGGATATTTGATAGCATTCACTAGGTTGAGAAATAGGAAACTATTAGTTGTACATTAACAATGAAATTAATTTAAAAAAAAATTAAAATATCTTTTTAAATGTTACTAGATACTGCATAAACGCATAGACTTCTTGGATGCAACACAGCAAGTTGAGTTTTTTCACTGCCACTAAAAATAATGTGTTTTTATTTTAAACTTGCAATAATAGTTATTGATTTAATAAAAAAAAATTAAAATTAATTAAATTTAAAACTAATTAATATTCAAATATTGATACTATAATAACTTTTTATTTAATTTTTATTTATATTATATTTAGTATATTAAATTGTAAATTAATTAACAAATTAGTTTATCTACATTGATTTCTGATTTAATAATTTAGAGTTTCAAAACTGCATTTTGTTAAAATAATGATAGTAATATTCAATATGTGTTTATATATCTTATACTGCTGGTTTAGGTGAGCAGCCTGAAATCATTCTGAAATAGCCTGCTGCCTGGGGCTTCAGTACATACATCAACTGACAAACAACCTGACTTGCAGCCGCATGCTGCTACACCGACTGAGGGTTTGGTATGGGGGGGGGCAATCGTTTCTTTCATTATTCTTCCTTTTTTTCTTCTTTTTCTGAAAATTCATATTTCATGTAATAAAAATATTATAATAATTTGTTAAATAAATATGCTATAGTAGATATAAAAGTTTTTGATTATAAAGATTCAAAAAAAATTAAAAAATTAAAAAAAAAAATTGAAATTTTGAAGAGCTCAACTGATTAAACAATTTTTTCTAATTTTTAAAAACATTTTTTGTAAAATAAAAATGAACTTAAAACTAAAGTTAAAAAATGTTTATCATTAAGTCATTTTTTAGATTAAAATGAATTCTGGATTAAAAATAATTTAAAAAAGAAATAGAACTAAGCACACACACACACACAGATATATATATATATATATATATATATATATATATATATATATATATATATATATATATATATATATATATATATATATATATATATGTATATATACATATATATACACATATATATACACACATATACATATATGTATATATGTATGCAATCAAAATCTTTGTCATGTTATTCAGTTTATTTAACATTAGTCTAGTAAAGTTGTAGTTTCTTTCCTTACTATTTAGAATATTTCATCGCAGATTTTTGTTTAATAAAATAGTTTAAATTTAATAATGTTTAATTAGATGGACTAAAATTTTCACGCTGTAACTAAAAACATTTATTATTTTTTTATTTTACAATTTGACAACAACTGTTCTGATGTTTTAACAATTTGCATGCAATAAAAAAAAATTGTTACGTTACAAATAACTTTTAATTCTTAATCTTTTTAAAGTTTTTATTTTACGCGAGGGCTTTAAATAAAATTAAAAATTAACTATAATGATCGTTTAAAATAAACACATTATGTGTAAATTAAATATTATATTTAAAAATTTTTTAGTAGGTATGTATTTTTTATGATAAATTTAAAAGTTTGAAACTATTTTTCCATGTCATTCTAAAAATCTATTAAAACTTTTAAATTAAAAGATTTTAAATTAAAACCTTTTAAATTAAAACTTGAATTAAAAGATTTTTTTTTTTACTTTAAATTATGAATACGGTGATCGCATTGACTATAATCTTTTTTTACTTAGGGATCATCCATAAATTATTTAATGCAAAATTAAACTTATAGACTAAAGAAAAAGGAATAAAAGTTTTTCCTTGCAGAATCTTTAATTAAACCAAGAATATAAACAACCTTTTAAGTCTGACAAAAACCGCCTAGCAAATAAGCAAAATGATTTACTACTATTTTTTAAATAAGTTTTGCACTTTGTAATTTATCGACAATTCCTTATAGGCATCAACAAAATATTTTAATTTTACCTATCTACTATCATTTCTCGCCTAATATTTTTAAAAAGCCACCTCTTAAATATATATTAAATACAAAAGAAGTTTAATGATTATTACAAACTGGTACTAGAAATTTATTTAACGAACCGGTGTAGTTAAGGTAATTTATAAATTATTTAAATTCTTTTATTTGGAATTAGCATGATTTTGTCAGCATATTATGTCCAAACAAGAACTTTAGACATTATAATTTTTTTGCCTTAAGTTTTTAAAATGTCTAAAGAAACTTCTCTCTTTTTTATATAAATTTTAAAACTTATTTATTATTCCTTTTGTGAATTTAAAGAATGCCATTTATGAGTTTTTGGATCAATTCTACTCAACAGCGTTAACTTAATTTTAATGAAAAAGTTTTGAAAAAGGGCATTAATCTACTATAGATCAAGAAAGAGTCTATAATGAAGAAAAATAGTCAATAAATGATCAGAACAGATCATATTATTAAACTATGATGTTCATTTCACCTAAACAAGGTACTTATTTAAAATCTTATACTATTTGGACAAGAAAAAAAAAAAAAGAATCTTTTTTAAAAAGTTTTTTTTTTTGCTACAAACATTTTTACATTTGTGTATCAGCATAAATTTAATTTTTCATAATCCACAGATGTGATAATTTAACAGAAATATGTCGTAATCAGCAAAATACTACAGACGCTATAATTTTTTTATATTACCTTAACTACACCAAGGAAGAAAATGGATTTCTTTATTTTACTGCTTGCTTGTATTTAAAAGGTAAATTAAATATGTGTATTAAAACATTAATTAAATGCGTTTTATTATTAAATTTTAATATCAAAAATGTTTTTTTTTATTACAACAAACTAGTACTAAAAATTTAAAAAACAAGAAAACTAGATTCACTGCTTGCTTGAATTTAAAACCTAAAAGCAAATTTAAATATTTAAATGAACCATAGTCATAATAACACTTTATGACTATGAATGAAAAAATATTCATTGATATTTTTCGTTGCCACGATAGCATGCAATCACTTGCGATCAATATTCTTTTGTAATTAAACAACATTTACTGTTGTTTTTGCTGAGACTTAGTAATTGTAACTTAACTTCGCTATGCGATTTGTTTATAAATATAATTAATATTAATTATTAAATTGAATTTGCAATAAATGTAAAATATGAATCTTATGAGCTTGTGTTTACTACTTTTAAAACCTTTTCTTTTTTTCTATATGTAAAACATTTCTTTTGATGATACTTATTTATTACATGATGTTGTAAGGGTTTGTCTATAAAGGACGTCAAATTTAAATAATAATTAGAAGTAGAAGATCATTGGCTCTATTTTGCAGAGATTTTCATTGAACACAAATTGTTATAATACTTTAAAAAGTATTAAAAGCGATTTGTGTTTAATGCCCACCATTGAAAAAGAAATATATTGAAAAGAAAAATCTAAAAATGAAACTGGCATTGGTATGTTAAGATTTAAATCAAATGTAAAATTCTTAATAATAATCAATTAATATATACTGATTAAAATAATAAAAAAATATATAATTCTCAAAGAGATCCCAAACTCCCAACACATGATATGTTCATATTAAAGATAAAAAAAAAAAAGGTTTGGATCAAGTTTTTTTGATTAAAAATAAATAATGAATACATACCGAGAAAAACTAATGTTGTTGTTTTAGGCGATGCTCGCCTTCTCCATCTTATTCAAAAACTCGAAGTTTTGAAATTATACATTGCAATCTACATACTTTGGCGATTCCTATGAAGCGCGTATAATTCATAAAAGTTTTAGTATTTGACGTCACGGTAGACTTTTGACAAATGAAACTCTGGCAAATTTTTTATTTTTATCCATAAATTTTTTCATTATTTGTTTAGTTATTTATTTTCTAATTTTAACATTTAAAAAGATACAAACCTCAAATACTTTATGCTCGTTTGTTGCTATAAATTGTAATTGCGCTAAATTTAATGTTAATAAATGATGAAGTATTTATTACCTCAATCAAGATTCTAATAAAAATTGTTTTATAATAATTACCCATATAAAATTAGTTACAGCATTTTTATATGGTTAGATGATATTTTGTCTCAATTTGCTTTGCATGAAGTTCGGAAAGTCAAAAGAAAAAAATTAATTTGACTTATCACGTCGAAATATATTTAAAACAAATTATTTTAATGACGGGGGTTTTAAAGTTTTTTACAACAAATGTAGGTAAAAAATAAATAAATAAATAAAAAGTTCAACATTAAACATCTTTTTTTTTTATAATGCAACTGTAAATACTGAAATGTTAACTTGAACTAAATTTACTTATTATTTAGAATGACTAAGCAATAAAAATAAAAAGTCCCTAAAATTATGCGATATTGTGTTGTTTATTTGTTAATTGTTGTTGGTAATGTTGTTAATGTTGTTTATTTTCATTAATATCTAAATAGTCCCAGATTAAACTGTTAGTTGCTTTGCTTATTATTGATTTTTTATTTAATTTTATCTCTAAGTTTAATTCTATGTTAAGAAAGAAAGGTTTTTATTTCATCGCGCGCTCTTTTTATAAAAGAGTAGAACAAAAGAGAAAGAAATGCTTCACGTAATTAAACTTCTAATGAATAAAGTTGTATAGAATTTTTTTTTTTTTGCGTCACTCGTTCTTTTTTTAGATGAGAGAAATAAAAGTTTAATTGTAACTTTTCTTTGAATATATGAGAATTGGAAGATAAAATTGCTTAAAAGTTTGTATTTGTCAATTTTGTTAGTTTTTCAATTTTCCTTGTTAACAGACATATGCCAAATACAACACATAAATTGGGAAATACCAAATATAACATTTTTTTAACACGCGTTATTATATTTTGACAATTTAAATTACCATCTAATTACCATTAGGCGTTAATTATTGCATTAATTAATAATAATTTGTCCGTATTTTTGTTAAATATTAGTTGTATAAAACGGGCGAAAATATACATACTTCATGTTTTTAATTTGATGGTTATAAAATATTGAACAGTAAATTTATAAACAAAATTTATAATGCCGACATGTGCTTCTATTAATTGTCTTGTAATGCAAAACCAGGATCTCACATATCTTTTCACAAATTTTCATATCTGCTACTACTGTCAACTGTATTGTTTAGTGTATTCTTGTACTTTTTTTTATAACCTTAACAGGTTCTAATTGGTATAGAATTGCCGACATTTTAAAAGTTTCATTATCAAAAATCAAATGCAAACTAAAATGATATTCCCCATTATTCCATATCCAATTCAGCAAATTTAGCAACTTCAATTAAATCAACGTAATCAAAAATTTTTTATAATAAAAAAATTTAACAGTTCATCAAATATCTCTAATTAATACTGTCAGTTAATAAAAGTAAGTGTTAATACTTTTTTTTGACGGGAAAACAAAAAATGTCATTGCGTAAAAATGACCAGAGAAGTTAGCAGATAGTTCCTATCATTAAAATGAGAATAAGTAAGAATTAGAATATATAATACTGTGCAAAACTTTTTCTTGGTATGCATTCATTATTTATCTTTAATCAAAAAAACTTGGTTTAAACCTTTTTTTTAACATTATCTTAAATATGAACACATCATTTGTTGGGAGTTTGGGATCCCTTTAACATATCTTTGGAAATCAGAGTTTAGTTTGCTATGTCATTATGAGACCACTTTTATTTTTGTGTTGATTTCATATTTATTTTCAATAAATGTTGTAGACGGTATTTATTTTATTTTTGGCACTGTCCAATTAATGTAAGCAGCGCTGAAGTGAAGTAGAAGAGGAAAAAGTATAAGAAAGGACCCTACACCTTCCCGGAACACATTTTAATCTCAGGGGGGATTGGGAAATATTTTGATAAATTCCCAACTTCGTCAAAACGCTGTATATATATATATATATATATGTGTATATATATATATATATATATATATATATATATATATATATATATATATATATATATATATATATATATATATAATATATATTATATATACATATATATGTATATATATATATATATATATATATATATATATATATATAATATATATATATATAATATATATTATATATACATATATATGTATATATATATATATATATATATATATATATATATATATATATATATATATATATATATATATATATATATAGAGAGAGAGAGAGAGAGAGAGAGAGAGAGAGATGATAACAAAAAAAAACTTATTGCTAACCTAAACTCTCTCTCCTGAAATTATTATGATAAATTAAATTTAGAAAAATACTTACGAAACAAATCTACCAGCTTCAACCTGAATTATAGGATATCCAAGTTGAGTTTCTAACATCAAATTATTTGCTTTGAAACCACCTTTCTCAGCAGTAAAAATACGAATCACACCATTTAATGATCCAACTATAACTTTGTCTAAAGTAAATAAAAAATATACTTTTTTTAAGGATCAACATGGTCCAAACTAATCAGTTATTCTACAATAAATAAAAATGAACAATTATACTTTTTTTTCAAAAAAAACAAAACAAAACTGGCTGGCTTTAAAAATTATTCAGCTTTTTCATTTTTCAGCAGCATTCTGTTGGAGGGTTCATTTTTCAGCAGTATGCTACTAGAGGGTTTAAAGCAGTGCTATTGAAATGTTGAAAAAAAGTCATTAGAGAGAAGGCAAAGAACCTTTTGAACAATTATTTAAAAATCTAAACAACATTTTAATGATTTATTAGCATTTCATAAAAAAACGTTGAAAAAAAATTTCATAACTTTGCATGACACTATTGATTTTTTTTTACAATTAATAATTTCATCTATTCTTTTCTTTAAGGAAAACTAGGCATTTGAATTGAAACACAAATTTGCAACTTTATTGTAACAAGTTATATTAAAATAAAGACTTATACATATAAAAATATTAAAATAAAGTCTCCTAAATTATAATAATTATTAATATAATTTTATTAAGATAACATTAAAATTACCATAACCATTTGGATTATTGTCAATGTTAGCCAAGCACAAGCCTCCCTGATCAAATTCTTCTTCAATGCCCCCACAACAAGTACTACACCATTCACGTGCTTGAAACAATGACATTACTTATTCTAAAGAAAATTTGCTTCTGTTGCCTTTAATGTTTTTTTTAAATAACATTTTTAAACATCTTTTTTTTTTCTTTTAAACAAAGTTTTAAACAACATTTTTAAACATCTTTTTTTTTTTTTAAAAAAACAAAGTTAAACAACATTTTTCAAACAAAATTATTTTGAATGTTTCAATTTGGATTGAAAAGCAACTAAAAATACATTAAACAGAATTTTGTAGCAGATATTATATATCTGTTACATATATATTATTGCAAAATGTGTATAGTAAATATTATATATATAGTAAACACATAAAATAAAATATAGGCCATAAAACAAGTATAAGCAATACTTTAAATAGCAAAAAAATTAATAGAAAAATATATTTCTTTTAATATAAATACAAAATTCTATAAATAAATGTTTAAAATAATTTTTTTTCTAAATAAGTCTATTTACAAAAGTATGTTAAACTACAATCTTCGGGTTTGAACCTGGCCCTAAACTTTGTAACTTTATTTCATTTTTCATATTTGGTTCAGATGTTTGTGTGTGCCATACTAAAATCTAAACAAGTAGTTTCAAATTAAAATAGAGGAAAACAACTTCTTATTAAATAAATTCAATAAATTAATATAAAACCTTTTGACAATCCTCAGCTTTAGCTTCAATTTCATCTTTAGTTATTCCAAGTCTTTCAAGAAAGTCTGTTTCTAAATAACCTCTTTTCACTTCTGGATTAATGTAAACATTGTTATTCTCCAATATTACATGAAGATTTATAGCAAATGCTGCCATATCAACTGGAAACATTCTGTTAGGTTCCCAAGCAGTGTAAAAACTTACAACTTTTCCATTTTTACATACAGGACCTTCCCAATTCAATCCTCCAACTAATGCAACAGGCCACATAGAAACCTTTTTTGTATTTCTCATCTAGAAAAGTTATTTTAAGCAAAACAATTTAATTATTTTCATTAAAAATATCATAAAGCCATTAAAAACCTTTATAAAAAAAAATTGGTAAAAAGTTTTAGTTATAAGTATTAATAATTAAAGTTAATAGTTAAGTATGACACTTAAAAAAAGTAATAATAATATGAATAAATATTATAATACTATTATTAATACTAAAAGAAATAAAAAGTTTTAATTTACTTCCATAAATAACTTTTCATGATAAGTGTTATCATCGTCAGCAAAGTAAACAACTCCATCATTTATTTGACCTGTTATGTTTTCACGTAACCACTTCAAACCTAGATTACGCTGATCAACACCCCTATGTTTTTTCCAGCGTGGATCACTATTTAATCTGACTAGGTCATTTGAAGTAGAAACATAAAGCTGTGTATATTTTATACTTGAATCTTCAAGAATATTTTTCACCAAGTCTGTTTTTTTGTTACTATCCTCTATAACTATCCAATGTATAGACTCAACCAACTTTAAAGTATTTGACATTCTAACTAAATCAGCTTGTTGTGTCAATCGATGGTATGTTGGAGTTACTAAATATATTGTCTTGAGTTCTTTTTTTTTTAACTTAAGTTCAAATGCATTTAACTGCTTTTTTAAAGATTCTATTTCCTGAACAGTAAACTTTATTGATGAATTAGAATTCCCTAAAAGAGTAAAAAGATAATGTTTAGTTTTTATAAAACAATTTTTTTTTATATATATTTTAATACAACAATTTTTAAATATATCTTATTTCACTACAATTGTACAACCTTAATGTGTTCTATACCATAAGGTAGCAACTTTTTGTTTAATAATATTGAAAATTAATAAAATTTTCTACTTTAACTTTAAAATATATTTTATATTATGTTATTTAATAATTTATAACACAAATTTTTCAAATTATTTTTTAAAAAGATTTATAGAAATAATTTAAAACTGTAAAATGAAAAAAAAAAATCACATTAAACCTATATGTATTGGTTTATTTTAAACCTAAAAATATTATTTTTTATAATTAACAATGCCAATGGGAAGCAGAAAAAAGACGGCTAATAAGCAGAAGAAGTAACTAAAGTTGAAAAGAGTACAAAGATTTTTTGAGACTATTGCAGTGCTTTGCTTAGTAAAATGATAGAACAAGTAAACAAACACTTTTCTAATTTCAGATAAAGCACATACCCAAGGGCATATTTAGCTGTTAAAAATTGGATTTTTTCAAATTTTAACAGACGCTGGTAGCAGCTTTCGAGCTTTACAAATTATCTTGTTTTGTACATAAATTTTAATTAGTTGTCAATGTTGAAAGAATTAACCTTATGAAAGTTTAATTAACAGCATTTATTTGCTAAACTTTTCAGTGGGTACAGGTATTCTGGAAATTCTTATTTAATCATGCAAGAATATATTTAATGAAATCTATTCTGTAAAACATGTATTGCTTATTTTATTTTATTATTAAAATTGAACAATAGATGGTCAAGATTGCAAAAAAGTGTAGAATTATCAAGTAAATCTTTTAATGAAAAAACTTTTATTGTCAATTTTGGTATTTTTTTGATTTGCAATTTTAAGAGACAGGTTAATATAAAATACTTGCCAAATACAACATAAATTGGGAAGTATTAAATACAATTTTTTTTTTAACACGCGCAAGTAATATTGATTCAAAAGAAAAAAAATTCTACAATGACGTCATTTACTAAAACTCTTTAGAATTAAATGTGCTTGAATAAATTATAAAGTCTGTAGATTGCGGCATATATTTTAAAGACTTTTAGAGATTGGCTTATGTGAAGATGACGAGCTTTGAGTAAAACAATAAAGTTTGTTTTTGTTGGTATACATTTATTATTTTGTCTTTACTTAAAAAAATTCTGCCTAAACATTTTTTTTTTAATCATTCTATTTAATATGACCACAGTTTGTCTTGGCACTTTTGGATCCTTTAAGGACTTACGCAGCAAAAAAAAATTTTTGTCCTTAGTCAGCAAAGACCTTTCTTTTCACCCCCTCTCCCCTTTCTTCTTTAAAATCCCTTTTGGTTTGTGGCCCTGCACATGCCGATATATACGCCATTAGTTTTTTCACTTTTGATTTGACCACTTATTTTATATAAAAAATAGGCACTCTTTTTTACAACAACAAAATATTGACAAATATAAAAAAATAATTTACAAGTACTTTAACACCCTTTACTTTTAATATGTAGTAATTATTAAGATCTTATTTGTTACAGAAGCCTGAAAACTATTGATTTTTTAAAAGTATTTTACCACGTTGTAATTAAGTTTAATTTTAAAATCAGTTAAACTAATGTAACAAAAGTTATTGATAGAATGTAAATTGGGTATTTAAAAAAGATTATATTTCTGTATTTATTATTCTGTATTTGTAAAATATTATATTTCCTTATAATTTATTTCTTTAAGCAATCTTATACACAATCTTTTGTTTGTTTATCACAATTTATTAAATTTTTACATATTTAATGTAGTGTTTTAATAAAGATTATAAACAATTTATAGATAGATTTTATCTTTACCTATAAGATATTTGTAAATATAATTTTTGTTCTTAAATGTATAACATCATAACAACTTTAAATGACATTGAATTAATAAGTAACAAAAAAATTTTAAATAAAAAAAAAAAAAAATCTTGTGAAGAATTCTCTTAAACAAAAACACTTCTTCCATTTTATAGAAAAAAAAAATTTTAATATGCTTTTGCATATTATAATCTATGATAATCTATGATAGAGAGACTTGTGTTTTACGTAATGAATTAGCAGATGATAAGAAAAAAAATTCCTTTGAAATTAAATTTTACATTCAACGTTTTACTATTTTACATTCCTTCAAAACTAAATTTAAGTTTTTATCAAAAAAAAAAATTTTATACAACAATGTGTTGCTTTAAAATTTACAGTTGCAGTTAAATGCTTTTTTTTGACAACCTGATATTTTTAGAACAAACATCATATAAATAATATTAAAAGATAATTTAAGTATCCTAAAATAAAAAAGTTTTTGCTCAACATAAAGCTACTTTATTAAACTACTAAACGTTACTAAGCGAAGCGTTATTAAGCTCGCATATGTACGCCTGTAGTAGGCGTACATATGCACAAAAACTATACACAGCCCTTTCGATATATTATCTGCGGAGATTCCGTTCCTTGTATTGACGTCACCCAAAAAATTATTAATAATGGAGTCAAAAAACATCCCTTTGCGGACAAAAAAAAAGGCAGCAGATGTAAGAAAGGTTAAAATCATTGATCTATCATAATCAACATTAACTACCAGTCAATAAAACAGTCAACTATAAATCTAACAAAGTATCAGATACACACCAAGCGTTAAACCCAAAATCATCACCTAACAAATTAGGTGATGATTTTGGGCTGTTTTTATACCAATGCTACATCTTTAAACTAAAAAAAACTTCTGGAACTTTTACAAGCTGTCTCTAACTATAAATATGATTTTATTTTCACAGAGACCTGGTTTAACAATTTTTCGACTCCATTTTTTGCGGGTATTTTCAGAAAAGTCTGATCTACTCATGGTGGTGGTATTGCAATTTATATTAACTGCAGCTTCACTGCAAGTGAAATTGGAAATTCTCAAAGATTCGCTGTAAAACATTCAGATCAACTCTGGCTCAAACTTACTTTGAATCACGAAATTCTTCTTATTGGTTGTATCTATCGCCCACAAACTAGTGGAACAAAATCTTTTAATGAAACTGTTAACACTATTTCTTATGCCAAATCGTTTATTAAAAAAAAGAAGTTTGCAGACCTTATAATTACCGGGAATTTTAACTTCCCGAACATCAAATGGAAAAAAGGGTGGATATACACCTCAAACACTGAAACCAGTTTAGATACAAAATTTGTTAACATTATCAACAGTCTATATCTACAAGAACATGTCACTTGACCAACCTTTATTCAATCCAACGGGTCTTCAAAAAATATTCTTTACCTAATAATCAGTGAACTGGCCAATCGTACAAGTGAGATTGTTATTGGTCCGCCATTAGGAAATAGTTCACAAGGCCACTGTACTCTAACCTGGCATAATCAATTAGCTAATGACTACACCCACTTTAATTGTTTTACTAGTTCAAAATTTATTTATAATAAAGGAAATTATATTCAATTTAACAATTACCTGACCAAATAGAGGTGGGAAAATCTATTTAAAAACTTAGACGCCAATGAAAGCTACCAAATTTTCTGCAATATCTACAACAAAGGTTGCAAAAAATTTATTCCATTCATCCATTTAAAACAAAATAAACGACCGCCAATCTGGGTAACAAAAGAACTTTTATTACTAATTAAACGAAAGAAAGAACTCTGGTTTCTCAACTGTAACAGCAAGTGGAAAATTATCTTGCTGGCTAATGATTACAAGTTCAATCGAAATCTTGTAAGAAAAGAGACTAGAGCTGCAATTCGTTCATTTGGAGAAAACCTATCTAAAGACAAGAACAACCCAAAAAGACTCTTTGCCTACATTAATAGCAAACGTACTGTCAATAATCATATCAACACATTGCGTTCTCCATCCGGTGAACTCTGTACCGATAAATTTTTGATTGCCAATACATTGAACAAGGTATTCCAATCTGTCTTTACTATTGAGCCTCATAATCAAAATCTACCTCTGTTTGCTAAACGCTCATCTACCTCTTTCTTAAACTCTCATTTGATTCTGAATCTGTTCAAAAACACCTTGAGGCACTTGACAAATGTAAATCTGCTGGAGAAGATCAAATAAGTCCTTACGTTCTTAAAGCATGTGCCAACACAATAGCAGCTCCGCTTGCCATGATTTTTCAATTGTCAATGGAACAAGCAATTGTACTAAAGGCTTGGCTTGTAGCTAACGTAGCTCCATTGTTCAAAAACTGTTCTAAGACTGACCCTACAAACTACAAACCAATTTCCATCACTTCTGTACCATGTAAGATAATGGAAAGACTGGTTAAAGATAAGGTCATGCAACACTTATTATCTAACAATCTTCTCTCCCAATGTCAACACGGATTTGTCAGCGAAAAATTATTCACTACAAATTTACTCAAAACTATGGACTTTTTGACTTACACTGCATCACAAAAGCTACCTGTTGATGCCTTATTTCTCGATTTTGCCAAAGCATTTGACAAAGTTCCTCACAAAAGGTTACTAAAAAAGCTTGAATCTTATGGAATTAGCGGAAATGTTTTAAATTGGATTAATGCCTTTTTTTCTAACAGAACACAACGTATCCTCCTTGGTAATGTTGCATCCGATTGAAAACAGGTTACTAGTGGCATTCCTCAGGGTTCAGTTCTTGGTCCAACACTATTTATAGTCTATATTAATGACTTACCAGAACACATTAGCAGCAAAAATAAATGCAAAACGTACACAGATGACACAAAAGTTCTAAGTGTAAGTAACACTTTAGAAAGCAAACTTGGTCTCCAAGCTGACATTGATAGTATTGTCAATTGGACCTAATTATGGCTCATGCAACTTAACATCAAAAAATGTAAAATTATGCACATCAAACAATCCAAATCTGTCCCTCACATTTACTTCATCAATGAAAACGACTCCAATAGAGGAGTCAAAAGAATCCAGCTAGAAACAACAACATTCGAAAAAGACTTTGGTGTTCAACTATCTGTTGATCTAAAGTACATAAGTCAAGTGTTCACTGCTGCTGCTAAAGCTAACAAAATCTTAGGTATATTGAAGCACACCATTGTTAGCAAGGATGTAAAAGTCTGGAAAAACCTCTATAAAACATAACTATGTCCACATCTAGAATATGCTATCACCACCTGGTGCCCTCACCTTAAAAAAGACATTACTGAAATTGAACAAATACAACATTGTGCCACAAAAATACCTCATGAATTAAAGCATATTGATTACAAGACAAGATGTGATATACTTGGACTAACTTCACTAAGTGACAGAAGAAAACGTGGTGACCTTATCCAAAAATTCAAAATTGAAAATAAAACTGAATTAATCAACTGGCATATTGACCCAATGTACATTCTTCACATCTATGGTCATCCCAAACGCTTTCATCGCGAAATTAATAGCAATTGGCTTGTTCAACTTAACTTTTTCAACAATTGGGTTGCAAATACTTGGAATGCTCTGCTGGATGATGTTGTCAACATCTCTACTACCGACAATTTCAAAAAAAACTAGACCAGCAACTCACATTGTCACCACAATGCATCATTTTCCATGGCTGTATTATCGCAGCTATACGAGCTAGCTTGCTAGCTAATGATGAACTTATGGTTCATATCTGTATCGTGTAACTTTAATCGTAATTGTAATTAATATAACAAATACAATTTAATATATGATATATATATATATATATATATATATATATATATATATATATATATATATATATATATATATATATATATATATATATATATATCAGAGGTGGAAAAAGAGAAAAAAAAATTGTAACTCAATTAAAAGTACTGTAACTTGAGTGAAATTTTACTCAAGTAAAAGTTACCAGTCAAAAAGTTTACTCAAGTAAAATTAAAATGTAGCTTATTAAAAATGTACTCAAAGTAAAAGCTACTGTGTTACTTTTTCAGTAACAAACCTGTCGCATAAAAAAACGAAAATCATGTAGTCTATTCTTTTCTGTATGAATTTTTTTTTTTTTTGCACAGAAAATTTTTTTTATGGTCATAAAAAGTGAAAAGAAACCAAGCTAAAGCAGTTAAAAGTCGTTATGAGGGCGCTTAACATTTTTTTTCTAAACAATTTAAAAGTATCATTTTTATTAAAGTGAGCAAAACTCAAAATAACAAAAAAATTAAATCATAGTATTTGTGAAATTAAACAATACATAATAAATTTTTTACTCAGTAACACATATAATTTTAAATGTAGCAAAGTACAATACTTAAGAAAAAAAAAAATACTTAAGTAAAAGTACACATTTAAAAAAATACTTAAAAAGTAGAAATTCACAAAATAACTACTCTATTACAGTAACGTGAGTAAATGTAATTCGATACTTTCCACCTTATATATATGTATATATATATATATATATATATATATATATATATATATATATATATATATATATATATATATATATATATATATACATATATATATATATATATATATATAATATATATATATATATATATATATATATATATATATATGTATATATATATATATATATATATATATATATATATATATATATATATATATATATATATATATATATATATATAAGCCTTCCCAGGAAAGGCATGCGGTTATTTTTCTTGTATGACCACACGCAATTACATTCTTTTAGAAAACGTGAACACGGCCATTTGCAAGTTTTATAATAATGCTGAAAAAGTTTCAAAAACAAAAAAAACAAAACTAACAAAATAAAAAGGGGTTGAAATAGAAAAAAATAAAAACAAATTAATAATTTAAATAATTTGTGCACTGTTTTTATTTTTGTTTATTTAGAGTTACATTCAGCAACAAAAATTAGATAAGGCGAAGCAAAAAAAAAAGTTTGAAGTCTACAATAAAAAGAATGATTTTCCTTTTCTTAATTTTTTTTAAGAGGATAGCAAAAATACAAACTGCAATGTGTTTGTAAAATTTATTTCTATAATTTTAATGTATCAACAAGGATTGAATTAAGCGAATGCAAAACGCAAAATCTGGAAAAATATTTAGTATTCAAAATTTTAGTTTATACAAAACCGTGTTCCTTGTTTTTAAGGGGAGAATCAACTTAAATTTGTTAGCGAAAAAAATAAAACAATAAACTTACGATTACAAAAGTAATAACACTCTAGTCACTAACTGCATTACAAAAGTAATAACACTATAATAGTGTTATTATTTTTATAACGCACTTATAACTTTTAAAATTCATTCTTTGTTCAAGCAACATTAGTATTCCCAAATTTTAATTAAAATAGAAAAATATCTATAAGAATAAAGTAGATGTTCAAATAATATTAAAACTAAAGTAACTTATAAAAACGTGACAAACGACTTTATGAAAACGTATTGTATTAAAAGTTTAGCATTATGAAAAACGTTACTAATGGACCGTAAAAATGTGCGTTAATTTTAAAATTAACCAATAAAAAAATTTTATTGGTTGATTTTAAAATCAACGCGCATTTTTACGTAACATTTTTCATAATGCTATACTTTTCGTTAAGTACTTTTTTATAATGTTGTTTAAGTGATATGTGAAAGTTCCTGAAATTTTTAATAATATTTGAATATCCGCTTTATTTTTTCCAGATGCTTTTCTACTTATATAAATGCTTGGAATTAATAATGTTATTTGAACAAAGAATAAACTTTAAAAGTAATAAGTGCTTTATAAATGTAATAACACTATTATAGTTTTATTATTTTTATAATGCAGTTAGGGACTAAAGTGTTATTACTTTTGTAGTCGTAAGTTTATTGTTTTTGTTTTGTTTTTTGTAACTTTCTCGCTAGCAAACTTTTAATAATTTGCTCCTTATAAACCAAGTACACAGCTTTGCATGAACTAAAATTTTAAAGTCCTAATATTTTACCAGAGATTGCAAATTGCGATTGTATAACTTAACTCTTGATATAAACTTGTTACAATATAATTATACAAATATATTTTACAAAAAGATGATGATACATATTTTCTCTTTCCTGTTTAAAAGAAAAAACACATAAAATATGGAAAAGTCATCTTTTTTAATGCCTAAAACCGTATTTTTTTTTGCTTTGACTTAATGAATTTTGTTGCCGATAATAATAACCACTAAGAAAAAACAAAAATAAAAACAACACACAAATTATTTAAATTATTATTTTTGTTTTCTATTTAAGTTCACTTTAATTTTTAAGAAGTTATTAAATTTAAAACAATTTTTCAGCAACGCATATAATTAAACTTGTGCAAACGGCTGTAATCATGTTCTCTAACTTGAAAAACGTTTTCGTGGTCGTACGAGACGAAAAACCGCACGCCTTTCCTGGGAAGGCTTGATATGTATATATATATATATATATATATTTATATATATATATATATATATCCTTATAGTGTAGTCGAAAGAGTCTTTTAATGTAAAAAAAGTCTCTTTCGATTACATTTTTAATTACCTCGTCTCTTAAGCTGTATTTGATTGTCGTCGAAATGTCAAAGCAATTAAATTAATGCGGAAATACATTAAATTTTATTGTTTTTTAAAAAAATTTTAAAAAACCGCAATAATAACGACTAGAAAGTTTTTTTTAATTAGTGGTGTTTTTGTTTTTGTTTTATAAAAAAACATTTTCAAAACATGCGTAAATGTTGCTACATCGATTATCTTATAGCCTGACTCGCAACGGAGTGCTGCTACATCGACTGACAAATAGCCTGAATCGCAACGGAGTGCTGCTACATCGACTGACAAATAGCCTGACTCGCAAGGGAGTGCTGCTACAACGACTGACAAATAGCCTGACTCGCAAGGGAGTGCTGCTACATCGACTGACAAATAGCCTGACTCGCAAAGAAGTGCTGCTACAACGACTGACAAATAGCCTTTTTTTAAAAAACAATAAAATTTAATGTACTTCCGCATTAATTTAATTGCTTTGACATTTCGATGACAATCAAATACAGCTTAAGAGACGAGGTAATTAAAATTGTAGTCGAAAGAGACTTTTTTTACATTAAACGACTCTTTCGACTACACTATAAGGATATATATATATATATATATATATATATATATATATATATATATATATATATATATATATATATATATATATATATATATATATATATATATATATATATATATATGAGGGTCAGTATTTGGGAAGGCTAAATCTATAAATGGAAAAAGAACTTTTTTTTAACATTATTCTTTGTTTTTTTATTTTTCTAAAAAATGTCAATATACTTTATTCCTAATCCCATTAAGAAGTAATGTAATTGATAACATCACTTTTTAAAAGGGACAAACATTAAAAGGGACCAATAGACATTTTTAGTTGTTGCAGAAGTATTAAAGCACAATAGAGATCTATAACTATAATAAAGAAATTAAAAAACATACCAGGTCGGCATAATGCATATAATACTATGAACAAACAGCAAACAATCACTGCAGGAAATAATAGAACTTTTCTTTGAAACCACCAAATCATAATACTGTATTTTAAAATTAATCAATATATATATATATATATATATATATATATATATATATATATATATATATATATATATATATATATACTCACTATTATATATTATATATACATATTATATATATATATATATATATATATATATATATATATATATATATATATATATATATATATATATATATATATATATATATATATATATATATATATGTATATATATATATATATATATATATATATATATATATATATATATATATATATATATATATATATATTATTATTATTGTACATTTACAAACAGTTACAAACTGATGATGCTTAAAGACTAAAGATGGTATGAAACAATTACTGTAAAATACTAATAACAAATATAATAATATAAATACTAATAGTAATAATAATAGTTAATATAATAGACAATCATATTAAAAGTTTAGTAAATAGTAATAATATTAGTGTATTAGCAGCAATAATAATAATATCAAAAGTATGGTAAGATAATATTTCATTATTAGTAAGAAGATGACAAAGTTAGTAGAAAGTTAGGTATATATAGGGTAGAATGTTAGGTCCAACATTTTTACTATATATCAATGATATAACCACTATTGTTAACAATCTTGATTGCTCTTTAAATTTTTATGCCGATGACATCAAGTTATGCAATTCATTTTGCAATACAGACCATAGCTATCACTTAGTTAATGCTCTTCATAACATAGTACTTTGGTACAAAACATGGCAACTACCTGTTTCTACCAGTAAGTGTTTTGTTTATAGGATTGCATCTGCTTCATCGAGAAAATTCATTAATTTTAACTATAAGTTAAGAGATCATATTTTAACTTGGTCTTCTATTCTGAAAGATCTCAGTGTGACTCTGGACTCTCAACTGAACTATAAAAAGCATATTTCAAATGTTGTACATGCACCTAATACCTGAGTATACCTTATTTTAAAATGCTTCAAGTCTCACAATCCTAGTATCTTAGTAAAAGCCTTCAATACACATATTAGGCTTACATTAGAATAACTCCCAGTTTGGTCGCCTTATCTTGTTGAACTAATAAAGTAGTTGAGAATGTGCAAAAATGTTTCGCAAAAAAAATCCTGCACTTAAGCAATTTAACATACGATAACCGACTCCAGTTGCTTGATTTAGAGTTGCTTGAGATAAGATGAGTAAAACATGATTTTCCAACTTTATCATGAATTATCGACTATCAAAATTCTTTATAACTTGGTCTTAATTATAAATCTATGTTCTTTTTTATTGACAACAAAAACAACACGTAAGAACATAAATATAAAATGCACAAACAACAATGTCGACTAGATATTTCCAAGTTTAGTTTCTCTTACTGAGCTGTTAACATTTGGAATCAGTTGTCTTTCAATGTTGTTAATGCCGATAATATCAACATCTTTAAAAGTAAAATTAACTCAATCAATTTTGAAAAGGTATGGGTTATATACCCATATGCATACACACATATATCGTCACACATATATATATATACACACAATAAACATATGCACACATACATTATACACACACACACACACACACACACACACACACACACACACACACACACACACACACACACACACACACACACACATATATATATATATATATATATATATATATATATATATATATACAAATATATACACACATATATACATGTACATTTATATGTATACATATAGATACACATAAATTCACGTAAACATGCACATACATGGATACACATATGCATTCTATACAAATACACATATACATACACACATACTCATGAACTTATTTTGCAGTTTCATCTTGCATACTCATGATTAACTCTTTTACTTGTTTAATAAACATAATTTTATTTACTCGTTTGTTTGATAAATGTGGTTGTGAATATTACTTGTAAACTTGAAATAATTTTTGAAGCTTATTGGTATATTTCTGTATATAACATCCCATGCAAATGCACGGTTCAACAAGTAGATCATTTGATCTAATTTCATTACTTTTAATAGAATGTATAGTATATCCAAGTCAAAGCTATTTGGTTAAAAGTGGATTAATCTTAAAGACTTATTTTGTAGATTTATAAGGTTCTTTTTGTTTAAAGAATATTTCTGTCCCCATATCTGGCATCCATAGTAAAGGTGTAACCCAAAGATGGCCTACCAGATATTTACTAAGGTCTCATAGTCTACATAGTGTCTTACTTTTGCTAGCATCCTATTGGCACAACTTAGTTTTATAGAAATCGACTTTAATTGATGACTAAACAAAAGGTTTTCATTAAAAAATCATCTAAATCTTAATTATGTTACAATGTTAAGAATAAAAAATCAAGTTCTTATTCCCTTTTGATATGGAAGAATATTTGCATAACTTAATTAATTAAATGTATTATAGAATCATGAAAAACTGTTCAAACTTTTTACATACTTATTTATAAGCAAATCATTTTACATTAACTTTCAAACTATTGATTAAAACCAATATCACAATATTTATGGAACTTTTTTTAGAATAAATTTATTAGATTTCTCAGTAATATTCTTGAAGGTTTTTATTTCCAATATATCATTTATAAAAAAACAATGAAATTATAAAAAAAAAAAAAATTTAAAAATTAATGTATTGATGTTAAAAACGAAACATAGATAATAAATGTGTTGCTATAAGTATCACACACATACTATTTTTTTGTTCTACTTGTTTAAATTGATCATTTGTTCATATAATAGTTGGCAGGTAAGTGCACTTTCTGGACTCCAGAAAAATAGTAGATATTCCAGACTGGAGTATCTACTGTTAAAGCTAAATTTTTTCATTTTCTAAAGAAAATCATTGTCTTAGTGGTAGATTTAATCTTTATTTTATGACTGAGTTTGCCCAATAAATATTTTAGCCATTACATACGAAAAATTTAATAAAAATTTCTCCTTCACCCAGTTGATAATAATCAAACCCTTTCATACCCTCCCCTGTTTGGTTGAGATAATTAATCGATATTCCCTAACCAACCTAGTACACATAAAAAAATTTTTTTATTATAAACAGCGAAAACTTTTATAGTTAATGTTGCTAATATTATTTTGCTTTATCCATAGTATTGCAATTAAATTTAATTAATTTAAGTTAAAGTACAGTTAGTTAAAGTTATGTTTAAGTTTAACTAAAGTGAGTTATAGTCTGAAATTACAAATAATATAATGGTTTGCTACATTAAAAATAAGCTTGTAGTTAAAATGTGTTATTATTTTTATGTCTAACTTTTGAACTTGTGTACTAGATAAAGCTAAAGTATAAGTTAATAAATCTAACAAATTTTTAAAATATATAAAAAATTTGAATTTTTAAAAATACATAAAGAATTTAATTAAATAAAAGTTTTGCGTTAAAAACATAGTTCGGCAAATTTGCAAAACGTTCGTCAGTGTTACGCAAATAATTTTAAACTAATAATTCGCACCAAATTCACGATACACTTTAAAAAATGCGTGTATCAATAAAAACTAGGAATGTACCGGAATTCCGGAACTTAGGATTATTTTAGGTTAAGGTTGGAATTACAATATTTCAGGCCGGAATGCCGGAATTTATTTTTTACCCTTTTTATAAGACATGTGACACAGACTGTGTGAAAAAATCATTGTCCTACAGGGCAATGAAGAACTATTGGTTAACCTAAGTAAAAAAATACAAAATTCTCAACAAACACAATGTAATTTTATTTGCAAAAATCAATTATGTAAAGATTTCTAGAAGTTTAGAAATAATGTGCTGCAAAAAGAGTTGCTATCCAGTTTTGGGCAACAAATTAGCTCTTTTTTCATCAAAACTGTTATTTGCCTCTGAGAATAGTCTCATTTTAAATGTTACTTAAGTTTTAAATAAATAAAAAGTATAGGATGCCTGATAAAGTAAATAAAAAAAATTTTAACCTAAATGGAAAAATATAAAACAAAGAAATAATTTTAAATATAAATAAAAAAACTTTTAATGAATAAAGTTATGAAAAAAAAATTAAGAAAAACATATTAGATTTAAATAAAACAAGAATCAAGTTTATGAAATAGGTTATATATATGTCATAGGTTACAAATATATATTATGTAAACACAATGCTGAGGTGCAGGCTTTCACTTTCAATCTTGAAGGTAAAATACTACATAAATATTATTATCGTTATTTTATTAACAATTCTGGCAAATCCGGTTCCTGTCGGAATTCCAAATTTCCAATCCGATACACCCCTAATAAAAACATTTTAAAGCATTTAATGACCTGAATATGAATTTACAATTTAAAGTTTTACAATAAAATTTATATATCAGATTATTATTTACTTATGTTCCTAAGAAAATCTTGGAGGTATAAATATAAAAAATATTCAAAATTTAAAAACCTTTCAATTTTGTTCATGCCAAAAAATTCTTCCCCCAATTAAAAAGGTTTTTACATGTTCAGTAGCTCCTAACATTTTTTAATGAAGATTAAACTCTATTGAAAAAATTTTATTCTAATCTAATAAGATAAAAAAAAAGAGGTTGACGCACTATTTTTAAGTTTTTGGCGTTCTTCTATTTATGGAGCGAGCTCTAAACATATGCAGTGCCGTGGCTAAAATGTTAGAGCTCCCCCTCCCTTCTTCCCCCTAGCACCAAAAAAAAAATTCAAAATTATTTTCTTGCTCCGTTTGTTTGATGTCTCTTTCCCCCCCCCCTCTCCCATTTGGGAGAAGTGGGGTAGCCAAACCACGATTTTGTTTATATGTATATAATTATGTCACACAAGGATGCTTTGCAAAAGATTGAAATGATTGGAGCTTGAGAATAAATAAACTTAAATTAAACTTTAGTTTAAGGTTTATTTGCTGTAACTTAATCTAAAATAAAAAGGTTTAAAAATTGTATATGTGCTTTTCCATTTGCCAAACATTTAAGCAGATTTTTAAAGACTGTATAAAACGGTCTTAAATAATGATATGAATCC